CGGTCCAAGCTGGAGTCCAAGGACCGTGTCGCAGGGCTAAAACACCATGGCAGTGAAGGACGGATTGGGCCCGCGGCCCGTATCCCAGACTGCCAAACGTCACTTTCTGGACCGACTAGAAACTTAGCTCCAAACCTTGACTTTTCCTGCGTTTCTGCATTGCCAACTGCCACCTTGCTCGTGTCCTCCTGGAGCCGGCTTTCGTTCTGCACCTGACGCTTGGTCGCAAGCAAGCTGGAGTCCAAGGACCGTGTCGCACCATGGCAGTGAAGGACGGATTGGGCCCGCGGCCCGTATCCCAGCCTGCCAAACGTCACTTTCTGAACCGACTAGAAACTAGCTCCAAACCTTGACTTTTCCTGCGTTTCTGCACTGCCACCTGCCACCCTGCTCGTGTCCTCCTGGAGCCGGCCTTCGTTCTGCACCGCTTCGGTCCAAGCTGGAGTCCAAGGACCGTGTCGCAGGGCTAAAACACCATGGCAGTGAAGGACGGATTGGGCCCGCGGCCCGGATCCCAGACTGCCAAACGTCACTTTCTGAACCGACTAGAAACTAGCTCCAAACCTTGACTTTTCCTGCGTTTCTGCCCTGCCAACTGCCACCCTGCTCGTGTCCTCCTGGAGCCGGCTTTCGTTCTGCGGCTCCAAACCTTGACTTTTCCTGCGTTTCTGCCCTGCCAACTGCCACCCTGCTCGTGTCCTCCTGGAGCCGGCTTTCGTTCTGCACCGCTTCGGTCCAAGCTGGAGTCCAAGGACCGTGTCGCAGGGCTAAAACACCATGGCAGTGAAGGACTGATTTGTGGCCTTCGGCCCGTATCCCAGACTGCCAACGTCACTTTCACCAACTAGAAATATCTCAAACCTTGACTTTTCCTGCGTTTCTGCACTGCCAACTGCCACCCTGCTCGTGTCCTCCTGGAGCCGGCTTTCGTTCTGGCACCGCTTCGGTCCAAGCTGGAGTCCAAGGACCGTGTCGCAGGGCTAAAACACCATGGCAGTGAAGGACGGATTGGGCCCGCGGCCCGTATCCCAGACTGCCAAACGTCACTTTCTGAACCGACTAGAAACCAGCTCCAAACCTTGACTTTTCCTGCGTTTCTGCACTGCCAACTGCCACCCTGCTCGTGTCCTCCTGGAGCCGGCTTTCGTTCTGCGGCCCGTAGCCCAGAGTGCCAAACGTTACTTTCTGAACCGATTAGAAACTAGCTCCAAACCTTGACTTTACCTGCGTTTCTGCACTGCCAACTGCCACCCTGCTCGTGTCCTCCTGGCGCCGGCTTTCGTTCTGCACCGCTTCGGTCCAAGCTGGAGTCCAAGGACCGTGTCGCAGGGCTAAAACACCATGGCAGTGAAGGACGGATTGGGCCCGCGGCCCGTATCCCAGACTGCCAAACGTCACTTTCTGAACCGACTAGAAACTAGCTCCAAACCTTGACTTTTCCTGCGTTTCTGCACTGCCAACTGCCACCCTGCTCGTGTCCTCCTGGAGCCGGCTTTCGTTCTGCACCGCTTCGGTCCAAGCTGGAGTCCAAGGACCGTGTCGCAGGGCTAAAACACCATGGCAGTGAAGGACGGATTGGGCCCGCGGCCCGTATCCCAGACTGCCAAACGTCACTTTCTGAACCGACTAGAAACTAGCTCCAAACCTTGACTTTTCCTGCGTTTCTGCTTGCCAACTGCCACCCTGCTCGTGTCCTCCTGGAGCCGGCTTTCGTTCTGCACCGCTTCGGTCCAAGCTGGAGTCCAAGGACCGTGTCGCAGGGCTAAAACACCATGGCAGTGAAGGACGGATTGGGCCGCGGCCCGTATCCCAGACTGCCAAACGTCACTTTCTGAACCGACTAGAAACTAGCTCCAAACCTTGACTTTTCCTGCGTTTCTGCACTGCCAACTGCCACCCTGCTAGTGTCCTCCTGGAGCCGGCTTTCGTTCTGCGGCTCCAAACCTTGACTTTTCCTGCGTTTCTGCACTGCCAACTGCCACCCTGCTCGTGTCGTCCTGGAGCCGGCTTTCGTTCTGCACCGCTTCGGTCTAAGCTGGAGTCCAAGGACCGTGTCGCAGGGCTAAAACACCATGGCAGTGAAGGACGGATTGGGCCCGCGGCCCGTATCCCAGACTGCCAAACGTCACTTTCTGAACCGACTAGAAACTAGCTCCAAACCTTGACTTTTCCTGCGTTTCTGCACTGCCAACTGCCACCCTGCTCGTGTCCTCCTGGAGCCGGCTTTCGTTCTGCACCGCTTCGGTCCAAGCTGGAGTCCAAGGACCGTGTCGCAGGGCTAAAACACCATGGCAGTGAAGGACGGATTGGGCCCGCGGCCCGTATCCCAGACTGCCAAACGTCACTTTCTGAACCGACTAGAAACTAGCTCCAAACCTTGACTTTTCCTGCGTTTCTGCACTGCCAACTGCCACCCTGCTCGTGTCCTCCTGGAGCCGGCTTTCGTTCTGCACCGCTTCGGTCCAAAGCTGGAGTCCAAGGACCGTGTCGCAGGGCTAAAACACCATGGCAGTGAAGGACGGATTGGGCCCGCGGCCCGTATCCCAGACTGCCAAACGTCACTTTCTGAACCGACTAGAAACTAGCTCCAAACCTTGACTTTTCCTGCGTTTCTGCACTGCCAACTGCCACCCTGCTCGTGTCCTCCTGGAGCCGGCCTTCGTTCTGCACCGCTTCGGTCCAAGCTGGAGTCCAAGGACCGTGTCGCAGGGCTAAAACACCATGGCAGTGAAGGACGGATTGGGCCCGCGGCCCGTATCCCAGACTGCCAAACGTCACTTTCTGAACCGACTAGAAACTAGCTCCAAACCTTGACTTTTCCTGCGCTTCTACACTGCCAACTGCCACCCTGCTCGTGTCCTCCTGGAGCCGGCTTTCGTTCTGCGCAAACTCTTCGCCCCTTCTGGCATCTTGTTGCTAGTAAGGCCTCCTCTGACGCGCTCCCCCTGCTGACGGCAGGGGTCGGCGGATAATGGGATATTATGAACAACTATAGTATATCTGATATCTGATAATTATGTTATTATTTTTAATGTTGTTTAATGAGATATCCGATAAACAACATTAAACAACTATCATGGGATATCAGCAATATGCATTAGTTTTGTTTGTTCTTTGTTTAAATGGGATTGGGATTTGGTGAATGGGATGGTATGATTGGATGCAATTGGATACAAATCAACAAGAACTGAACGTTTGGCGTGTCTGAGCATTTGGTGTTTACTGGCTTGTATTTCCAATTCATGGCTAGTTTCATAAGTGTTTGTGCAAAGATGATAGCATATACCGTGCCTTCTCTCCATTTTTTTTCTGCTGATGCTCCACAGTCGTCATCCCAACACCACGTCCCTACTTCAACGACTCATGAGATGCACCATGCCAACCGTCCCTCCATATCCTCCATGACCCATTGTCATAGTGCTGATATATCCCCATGAAATCCCACTAAAACAACCCGTGAATTCCTATTAAATCCCATGGAAATCCTATTGAAATCCCATGAAAATCCCCAGACATCCCCCAAAAATCCCCTCAGACATCCCCTCAAAATCCCATGAAAATCCCATCACATTTCCATGGAGTTCCCATTAAAAAATGGCAACGATTTGCCAGGAACAGGAGGGAAGGCTTTGTGCCTCGGTGGCGCAAGCGGCGCAACAAGAGTTGAACCAGCAGAAAGATGCGTGGCATCCTCGGTTGGGAAAGCCGATGGGCAAAGATGGGGATATGGATTTAAAATGGATTTCATATGATTTAATGGGATGATCTAATTGGATATGGGATGATCTAATGGCCATCGGATATGGGATTTAATGGGATGATGTAATGGGTATAATCCATATCATTAATGGACATTATTACTATAATATATCATTAATCTATCATTAATGGGCATTATGGATTTATAATGGCCATATAATGGATTTATAATGGATTTCTCATGGGCGCGGTAACTCCCGAGATCTCACGTTTTTTTTAGGCTGGCCCTTGCGCGCCAGCTGCGGTCGCGCGAGCGCATGCAGCTCGAGAAGCAGCTGACGGAGTCGCAGGAGGCCGTTGGTTTTTCATGGAATCCCTCAGGCAGATCTGGGTATACCGCACCAATAGCCTCTATTTTGTAGGGAAAATGATGTTTAAACCGCAGGATTTTGAGATGCCCTATTTTTCAGACAAACCCATCTGTATAGAAAGTTGATGTTCATGATCATGGTCATTATTATTTTGATTTATTGATATTTATTGTGTTTGATTTGAATTTTGCTGCTGCTGTTCATGCTGCTCATGCTGCTGCTCATGCTGCTGCGGCTGCTGATTATTAAATTGTTATAATCATTATTATAACTAGCATGATTGGTATTGATGCTGATTAGGGATAGTACTGGTAATGATTATTGTTTGTGGTCTTGGGAGAATTGATGCCAGCCGGATGATGGGATGTTAGATAATTTAGTTATAATTGAGGGATTGATGGACTATTTGCTTGATTGGTGGATTGGTTGCAAACTCTTTGACACACTTATGACGGTGAAGATGGTTCTGAAGCTTCCAATGATCCATGTTGCTGGCTGGTTCTGTTGGCCATTGACGGGATTGGCATTGGGAACAACAAAGTTGATTTCGATTCCAATGTATCCGGCAGCTGTTCCGTTCACGTCCCATCCCTCAGTTAGAACAGTTAGGATGAATACATTATTCCTGTTTTGACATCTTTTGACCATTGGGATGAGTGAAAAAACTATGAAACCAGCAACCAGTTGAGGCATGTTGTTTCCCAGGCCCTTACCAGAGCCAACGCTGAGTTGGCCAAAGAGAATGAAGGACGCTGCGTTGGATCTGCTTGGCGATGTGTACCACTCAGTCACCGCATTTCTTTCGTGGGGAACATGACGTTTCAACATGTTTCAACCAAGATTTTTTTACGGGTACTGCAGGTACCATCAGTCACCGCCATTTTCAGACACACCCAAATAAAAAGGGATCTCCACCGTCACCATTGACGTTTGGAAGGGCTGTTTACCCTTCCAGTCCCTTCCAGACGTCAGGGGACACCGTCGGCAGGAGCCTCCCAAATGGAAGCTGAGCTTCAAAGGGTCGACGCATTGCTGTCCCTGCAGGGGGATGACTTGCTTCAAGCCTTGCAGGCAGGGAGGAAATTGGAGGAAGGCTGTTTAGCCTCGGTTTGGAGATCTAAAGGCTACAACATACCTAGACTTAGACAATTATTTATATCAGATATCAATTTGTATATGATATATAGTAATATATAGTGATCTATATAGTGATATATAGTGGTATATAGTGATATATAGTGATATATAGTGGTATATAGTGATATACATATTATATAATATGCATGTATACACAGCAATCAGTGATTTCAACCTTCTCCAGTTGAACTCGCCAGGGCTTAGTGATTCCACTTGAAGATGGCAGCGAAAACACATGTGCCTTGGCTATTTTTCGATGTTTGAATCAGGATCAACCATGACCTGGGGCCACCATGGGGCACCTGATTTTCCAACGCCAAGGATATGACAGTATATGTGTACACGTTCATTTTCTGGCCACTTGAACTTCCGAAAACTGCATTGAATTTATGGCTGTGATCTTCTTTTCTGTCGGAACAGTTTCGATTTCGCTCAGAGCGAAGGCTGCTAAGGCCCAAAACACCGACACAGATCATCTTCGGACTCTTTGGATTCTTAGTGAGGAAGCACCTCCACTAGTTGAGATTTTTAGGATCTGATAGATACCATCTCAGGCTCCGGCTTTGACTAATGCAGGAAAATGTATGACTTTTCTGTGCCTGTTCAGTATTTGTCTCTTAGCGAATGATTCAAAATTATAATCAAAATCCGCAGATGCTCGTCATCTGTCAGCGTGCATTAGAATCATTAGAGCATGTCATGTTCAACCCCATAGGATCCATGGTGCTGGTATATATGCTAACATCACGGGGGTATATTGATGGGATCCATGGAGCACCATATATACCAGCACCATGGATCCTATGGGAACTACCTTTCCTATCGTTGGCCAACTTGTTTTGCCAGCTGCGTCGTGAATTTGCTCGGTTTGAGGTCCAGAGGCTGCAGTGGCCACTCCAGAAAGAAGCTTGGAGCATCACAGGGGCCTCCCTCAATGGATGCGGGGTTTGACCCAATGGCGTGCAGGTAAACAATGGTAAACATAGCCTTAAAAAGAGCCTACTGTAAATCATTAGGGATATCCAAAAAGTATCCAAATATCTTACAACCAGGGTTGTCAGGATACAAGTCCAAGTACTTGCATGAAGGTTTCAGGTGTGCAAACTGACATATTTTGACAAATTCTACAATTCCACTGGATTTCTGGTTTCATTCTCCTTGGATGTAGGGCAAGTGGGAGACATGAAGATGGTACCTAAGACAAAGGGCCCACATAGATGCTGAGACATCGCCGTGATTGAACATTGCTTTTCTTGGAGATGGTTTAAGCTCAAGGGAACTTTTACTTATTTTGGAGAACATCTGATTTATCATTGGAAGATAATTGATTGATTACATCATCGCGATTATATTTGATGACTCCAGATGCTATTTACTGGAAGGCCATTGCTTGACGTCACCAAAAAATCCAACAGCCCACTGCTCTAGCGCCTTGTTCAATGGGATGTCGGTGCAATTTGTCGAGGTTCTCCCCAGGAACCAACCAGATCCGACACCAAGGACCTACATCTTCCAGCTACTCTGAGGTTGGTAGATCATGTGGCAAGTAAGTGCTGGTAGTTTATGTGATTCCTAAAATAGGGGTACCCCCAAATCATCCATTTTAATAGGAATTTCCATTTTGAACCATCTATTTCAGGAAACCTCCAGACGTTTTTTTTTTTTTTTTCCGCAACAGAAAACCCCGACAGCTTAGCTGGTGCCAGGGCCCAAGCCCTGCTGTTTTTCAAGCGGCACAGTTTGAGGCGGGTCGGCCCGATACACCATGGAGACCCATGGAGTTTAGCTGTCAGATTCAGAAAACCCCATGCAGATCATATTTCATATATTTCTGCTTAAAGAACAAACTTAAGTTAATTACTGAACTACTGAACTACATTTAAGCGATCACTCCTCTCCGCTGTGCCCAGCACGATTCTTGCAGGACCTCAGAGAAGCACGAGCACAAGCGAAGGCATTTGGCAATGGGGACCCCCAAAATCCCACATTTCACATTGGTACTAAAAATATACATGGGCAAAGGAATGCTTAATTTACCGTTATTGATAGTTTTGTGTAGCAATTTTTCAGACACATCCAGCTTGGTAAAATCGATTGATTTTATGATGGGATGGCTATGGATGGCCTGATTCTGGCGAACTTCGGACAGGTTGAAAGATCTGAAGCAGAGTTGGCCCTGCGTGAGCGTCTTGACCCACGTAGTCGAGCCAATGCTGCCTGGTCGGTGCGACTGAGGCTCGACTGCGTGGGGAAATTGAGTTTTTTTGGGATTACCATCCGGTAATCAAACGTGGCAATTGAACATCCCCTAGAAACGGAGTTTTTCTTGGGAGAATCATCCATAAATGGTGGACTTTCCATTGCTGTGTTTGGTTGGAGGGTAGATCAGCCCAAAATTGAGGAGAGTGGGGGGAATCCACTGATTGTTTCATCAATAATACTGTGTCAATATTAGTTCAATCAATGTTGACTAGGAGGAAAATTATGAAAATTGATGATACCATCATGATTTGATTAAAGCAATCTGACTCTTAAACACATTGCGGAGAAATCCAGGTTGCAGTGATCTATATATAGTTTAAACGTTTGAACTAGCCACTGGCCGCGGCTATCTGAAGGCCTTTGGACTCCGATGGTGTTCGGCGGGCAGCTTCGGATGGGCAGAATAGCAGATGACGTCGCGGAAAGAGGGCAGATGGGGGGTAAGCGATTGCCCCAGCGAATTATTGGCTATCACTGGCTCTTCGGGCTGATTTAATTTTATATACAAGCTGGGGCCTCGGTGCAACAGATTGACTTGACAATCTATCTAGCAATCTGCCAGATGCATCCAGATGCAATGTTGTTGCCATGCGGTTAGCATCAGCCATTGCCCAAACAGGTATGGGGCCAATACTCAAGGCTCAGGACACCACAGATTTTGGCCAATTCTAAGAGCAAAGCATTCCAGTTGGAGTTCGGACATTTCTAGCAACTACCCTCTGGTAATTTAACGTAGCTATTGAAAATCACCATTTTTAATGGGAAAATCCACTATAAATGGTCATTTTCAATAGTTATGTTAAATTACCAGAGGGTAAAAACTAAAACCATTGAAGGAATGCAACTGAGTTTTGAAACACATCTTCCCCAGCCGTTTGCGGTCAATCGCTTACGCCCCTGGGATTTCAGTGAACTTAGGGACCGTCAGTTAGAATAGGCTTGGAGACCAAAGGCCGAAGGACTTTGGCCGCAGCTACCACCCAACTATTGTAATCCAAAACATCTGTGCAGTTCTCCCACTGTTTGAATAGGACCATTAGACATATACTGACCCCCTCCAAGTGGTGGCCCCGAAATGATGATACTTTTTGGGAGACACCTATTATAGTACTATTCACCCACCATGAAACTAAGAACAGACTGACACTGCCGATGTTTCTTGTCTTATCGATTGATATTGATTGCTGGTTGCTGGTTGCTGGTTGCCTATCCGACCTATCCCATGGTCCCATGGCGGAACGATGGCCTTTTTGGCGCTGCGCCGCGACGATGTGGACGTGGAGCGCTTGGTGCGCCGCACCGCCACCACCTCTCTGCCGGAGCGGCGGCGGCAGCGCAGCCCTCGGCGACGGCCGACGTGGGAGCAGGAAAGTGTGCAACGCGGTAAGGGCCTGGGAAAGGTTCTGGGATTTTCTGCAAAGCCTCAAGATCTACGTCTTGGACTTAGATGGACTTAGTTTGGGATGTTGTGATTCTTTGAAAGTTTGTAAGGCTCAGAAAGGTCAACGTGTTCTTTTCTTAGCAGAAACCAAGTCCTGGGAGGCAGGCAGTTCAGAGGTCAAAAGCAACTTTACACGGGGATTTCTCAATCAAGTTTTGGTCGGAGCACCCCAGAGCCATGCCTAGATCTCAGGTCACCAGACAACAAGTCACAGCTGAACTGAGACATCTCCTGTCTGAACTGCGTGGAGAACCCATCTTTTTGGGGGGTTATGAGCAAGAACGACGGCTGTTGGACTTGACACTGGGATTTTTGAAAACTTCTTCCTCCAGACGCTCAGCTTGCGAAAATGGTTTGCTGAGTATCCTGGAAACACAAGCAGGTGGTGGCAGCAGCATCTACCATGCACTGATTCCTCGCTTACTGTTGACCTTCGCACCTGATGGCCTGGAAATTCATAAAGAAATAGCACTGCATCACAGTTTTCTCCCAGCAGGTTTGACCCACGCCCTACCCCGGGCTGTGGCGGATCTAGAACGCCTGCTGCGACGGGGCAATGGAAGCAATGGCGATAGCAACCGGCCACCAGAGGGATCAAGTGACAGCGATGAAGAAACTGGACATCATCCCAGAGGCTCCACCTTTCAGTTGCTTGGGATGGACGACCCTTGCGTCGCTGATGTTTTTCATTTTCCAATGGGTTGATCACGGTGAATCCATATTTTTTCATCCGCCATTTGGAGAATCTACAGGGATGATTTTTCACACAACTTGTTCGGATCCGTGACGCACATGTAAGGTTGGATTTGATGCGAGTGGCTTTGGATGGTGCCTTTTCCTGGGTGCAATTGATGTTGATGTTGACCTACCATGATGAGTTGGTGGAAGCATTGGCCATGAAAATCTTGCGGGAACGCAACAGCGAGCTGATGAATCAGTCAGATTCCAATCTGGATCCATTGGATCCGTCGGGTCGGTTGGATCAGTTGGATCAGTTGGATCAGGATCCACCATCCGATTCCCTGGGTCCGGAGTTCTACGCCAGTCCCCGCGCAGCTTCGGAGGCGTCAGCTGCCTCAGTGTCTGACCAAGAGCCAGGCGGTGGCTCTGAGTCGGGGGAAAGTGATGGAAGTGGTGGAAGTGGTGGAAAGAGAGGGACAGAAACAGCCGAATCTCCACCGGTCAAGGAGGAGCTGTGGGGAATGTGTTCTGTTTCTTTCTTTGTTAGTGCTTGATATGCTTGATGAGATTGTTCTATTTAAAAATCATATGTCTATAAAGATGTGTGTTTGCAAGTCAGCAATATATTCTCTGAGTCTTTTGGTCGAGTCAGGTTTCATAAGCATTGATATGTTCATCTCAGACCCTGCAGGACAGAGCGGATGGCTCTCAAACATCGTTTTTCAGTGCCACCAGCCGCGATCGCGGGCCTGATGTGGCACACCCATTTGGACTCTCAGATGTTGAAGATATCAAGTATGGTCAAGCATGGGCCCTGTAGGTTGTTTTTGACTGTTTTTTGAATAGCATCTTTCCACAATATCTTACTCTCAATCAAAGGAATCCTTGTGTTGCAGGATTCCTCCAAAAACTTTCCTAAACTCCACCCTGATGATTTTTTCCACTCATATTCGGGGCCATAGCATTCCGCCAGCCCTTTTCGTCTTTAAGGAGTCGAGGAAGAGGACGAAGCGGCCGAGGCGGATCAAAGTCCCAGCAAGGCGTCCAGTCGGAAGCATCTCCAAGTGGTGAAGGCTGGGAAGTCGGTGCTGCTGGATTTTTGAATGGCTGAAATGGCGATGTTACCTGTGAGTCGGAATTGGTGACGTTGAACTTGGGAGCTGTTTTGGGTGATTTTTGGATCTTTTTGGTGGATCAGTTTTTGGTGTATGTTTTTTTTCATTCTCGTTTGGTGTGAAGGCAAGACAGGTGGGACCTGTTCTGCTTGGATTACCCATATGGGATAAATAGAAATACCAGAATTAATGAACCAGATTCTGTCGCCAGGTGGATTTCTTTGGAGGTCTTCTGGATCTCTCAGAGTTTTCCCAACGTCTTCCAAGTTTGACATCATCTCGGCAGTCGGCCTTTTGCTGGCAGGCACGGTCTTCCCAACCTTCCTGGGTTGGAACATGTTGGAACTATAGAAACCACAAAAAAGCGCAGGTGGTTGCCCGTTTGGTACACCAACCTGTGCTTGCTGTTCCTCAGCCAGCAGTTGAAGCCCAAACATCCCAGTTGCTCAGTTGGCCTACGAAATGCATATTCGAATCATACTGTCTATCAATTGGAATGTGAACTATAGTATCTCAGCATTCTATGTACAATATTGTACAATATTGTACAATACTATGCAACTTAACTGTAACTTAATAAGAAACTGACACAGGGTTCATTCAAGATTTATGCACATCTTGATGAACCTGCAATCTGAGGCTGAATTCTGCGTCGAGGCCGCAAACTTTCGACACCTGGAACTGGCGTTTCCTGGCACTATACTGATTAATCTAAAGACAAAACTGGCATCGTGTATGATTCAATGGCCATTTCAGGAAGCTAAATTGGAGGTACCTACCATATGTAAGGGCTATACAAGGCCTATGTAAGGGAATATCCCCACAAAATATGGTCTTATATGGTACAGTACCTCCATTTTAGGATCCTGAATTTCCCATTGAATGATCCAGCAACTTGCTCCAACTTGTTCTGAGACCATTTTCATCATTCTCTTAGCGGTCTTAACAGTCTTCACGTGTGTCATGTCGCTAAGGTTGGACTCTGCGGATGCCAATGGTGGCTTGAAACGGGCCAAACGAAGTCCATCCCTGGAGACAAGGCCTGTGGTTTGATGATTGGATTTGGTTGGTATTAGCTCCTGTTTCTTCTCATTTCTTGCATTTAATTGCATTTGTTTGCCACATGGGCCATATTTGAACTTGGTGACTATTGAGTCAATGCTCAAGAACTATACTGTATAACATATATCATATATCATATATATATATTACATATACTGCTGTAACTATAGTAACTTTAGTGAATGATTCTCATTGAGTCAGTTCAGTTGCAGTCCACGAGGCTCCACGCCTTGGATGTGATGACCCAACTGGTGACCAGTGGTCAACTCATCAAAACGCTGGCGCGCTCCTGTCGTGGCCACTTGGACATAGCTGGCGCTGGCCATTTTTACATGGTGAGCCTTTTGGAGACCTGTTGGGATATTATATGATTATATGATATGATCATGATATTCAATATATATGATATGATATCAATGATCATGATATGATATGATATGATCATGATGTTGGGATATTATATTATATGATACTATGTAATTTAATGACCATCGATGAATCCAATAAATCTGAATTGAGAAGCGCCCTACTCGGCGCGATTCATCGCCCAGCTGTTCCAAGGTGCAGAGGTGGACGCGGTGGGTATGGCGGCGGCTGGCGCCGTGTGTGCTGTGCATTCGGCGCTTCTGGACTTCGCACATGAGTCTTTCCACTGGCAGGAGGGCCCTAAAACATCTGAACAAAACAAATTTCCAATTGCAGGCTGGGGTATTTTAAGTTGTTTAACCAGTTGATGGCTTTAATTATGACATATTAAGACCTGCTTTCCAAGCCTGTTTGGCACGATCATGATTCATATCAGGGGATTTGGATGGACACAGCGGGAGGACTATCCCAGTTGCGATGCCTCCGGTGGCAACTCTGCGAAGTCGGGCTATGCACGACAAGCTCGTCATGCTCAGTGCAGCGCTTTGTTGCAAGCATGGCTTGCCTTGCTGAGTGAAGCCAAAGGCCCCAACCGATCCCATCGTGGAAGGGGTTTTGTATCTGGGAGTTCTTATTCGACAAGAGAAGACTCCCTTGGCTGGACTCATTTTCTGGATTACCATATTTGGGGGAATAATCATCCATTAACCAGCTATTTGAGTGTACCATCCGGATACCTAGTGTTTGTGGACAATGCCTCGCTGTAAATTTTGATCATCACCAGCAGCACCAGGCGATGGCTCCGTCCAGTCCCAACGATCTGCTGCAGGCGAGCTCATTGACCGCCCGAATATTAGGGGACCCCGATGATCCAACCTTCCATTCCAGTTTCAAGAAAATACAATACATAATGTCATAGCAATGTAATATATAATATGTATGTCATAGTATATAATATATATGTCACAATGCATGAAGTAGTGTGAATAATGTGAATGGATAAAAGGGAGGTGGAACTGATCATTGTTCCAATCTAGACCAGTGAAACTCATTCAATAATTCCAATTCCAGATCCTCAAAAATCAGGTACCCGAGCTTCCAGAACCCATCGAATTCCACAAGATCATTTAAGGGTTTGTCTGAGAATAGGGTATCCCAACATCCATTAGTTAATCAGCATCATGTTCATATGTTTTCTCAATTTCCAGCTTGATGATAATATCCCATCAAATCCCATTGGCTGAATCCCATTGGTTAAATCCACACCGTTCCATATCAGTTGCTTATCCTGAATTTCTAGGTGTTAAATCACCATGGTTGGTCCCAACCCCCCGTAACGCCCCATGGACTTTCTCATCCCTCCATCGAAGGTTTGGGCCTCCTCCAAGGGCTGCTGAAGAGTCGCCTCCGCGCCGAACGGCTTGGCGGCAGCAGCTTGCGGCTGCTGGCCACGGTGCTGAACCGCCAGGAGATCTGCGGTGCGCTGCAGTCGTTGCAACCCAAAAATAACCCGAAAAGTAGGAAACCAAGGAACATAGGAGAAAATACGGGGAATATCATTGAACTAACCGTTCTTGGCTGTTGGTTGGTGATTACATTGACATGTGATTACTATATATTACTATAAAGTTTTCAAGTTTGTTTTTCAGGCCACTTAAAGGTGAGTTCATAATTCCATATATATATAATATATTATACATATATATAATATATTATACATATATATATATACATGATATACCTGGAAGTAGATGGAATTATTCATAAGGTATAGCTCTGTGTCCCAAAGTTTAGGTTCCCCCAATCTCCAGACCCTCAGAGTGTAGCTCCAATGCCAGGAGTTGATGTCTGATGGCAACATCAGCAACTCGGAGAGCCCATAGTCAGCGCAGGTCCCCAAAATGGAACGCCTGTTTGACAGATGCGGGGCAACCAAATGCCAGACCCACCAAATAGTATATAGAGTTATATAAATCATAATTAATTACATATATATTATTTAATTACATATTTTATGTCGTTGGACTTTGACCACCACAACATCTCCAAAATTAGCTCGTGTTTATCGTGGCCAGATGACCCACATATGATTTGGAGCCACTGAGGCTTGCTATGCTTGGCCATCCGGGCAACGGGTGAAGCGTTGCAGTTGGCACCCAAAGAACCGGTGATCAAAGAGGTTGAAACTTGGATTCGAAGCTAGCACAGTGGGTGATGTGTCATCCAATTTTACAGTTTGAGTCTCATTAGGTTTGAACAATCTATTTCCATACAGTTTTCTGGCCAAACAAATCCAAACAGAACAGACAGAGGCAACTGCACGATTGTTGTACCACACAAAAAGCACGTGGTTATGTGTCAATGTTCTGTAATTTTCTTCCCTCATTGTGCACCAGATCATCCGCACTGCCTCTAGCAGCAACATTTCCGAGCGGAGTCCAACCCACATCAATCCCTGCAGATGTTGCCAGATGTGACGTACTAGTGTCTGTACCATGATACAGTCCAGAAACATTTCAGAATGCAGCTCATTTGTGGCATGATCATGTGCCATGCTACAAGACTGCTGATAATTCCCCGTAATGTCAGTCAGGGAATGAAATCCATCATCAGACATCCTGAAAAACATATATGTTTTACATCACACAAGAATAATTTGTTGGCACCTCATGATGACAGGCATTTTAACATATTTCAACCCACCCAACAATCTTTGTTTTGACAAGTGATGATCTTCAAGGATCTTCCCAGCCCCATCTGGCCGCCCCAGGATTTGATGGTCTCCAAGCTGATGGCCTTTTGGCCGCTCCTGGAGCTGCAGCCCCATCTGTTGAGTTTGATGGAAGCCGCTCCACTGGAAACGGTGGCGGAACAGGTCCGCTTGATTTTTGGGGATGTTTCAGGATGTTTCAGCCATGCGGTTGATGTGGGGGGTAGAAAAGCAACCATGATGGAGGCACTATGGGATATGCTGGTATATATATATATAACATTATATAACTAATCACTTCACAAATGTGGTGTGTCAAAAATGAAGGAGGTCCACCAAACTGCCTGGCAGCCTTATTTTCCAGTGAAATCCAGCGCTTCACTCGACGTCGGGAGGTGCTACCGCTGCTGATGAAGGAGGTGATCGGCCTGAAAGATTGGTCCGACTGGGGTGAAGCCTGGCAGCAATCATGGCAGGGTGGTTGGACTTCTCCCATGACTCTCAAAATAGCTTAGATTTAAATGGTCAGGTTTGCAGGGTGGAATCCCCCCAAACAATAACACAGAAAGTATTCCCTGATGAGTTCTATTCCAGTGAAATATATATATATATATATAAAGTCTTATAAAGGTTGATCCACCATTTTCCCATGATTTTCCCACATTTTTTCAGAGATCAAAAAGCTTCAAACAGCTTCCCCCAGGAGCGTTGCTTGCGTTGCTGCGGCCGCGCCTTGAGACACCACCGGCCCAACTTCCGGTTCAACACGGTGCTGGTGCAGCTGGCCATGCGATTGGCCAAGCTGCTGACGACTTTCGTGAGGCTCGCGATACTCATTGATTGGGGCGGCCGGGATCTGGGCGAAATAATGCGACATATATAGACATTATATATGATATATATCCCATAGGATCCATGTATGGTATATATGCTAACATTGGGGGTATATTGATGGTAAATGTTACCATATACAGCATACATGGATCCTATGGGTATATATATATATATACAATGGTAAATTAATCGGAAGATATATATATATACATAATGAAATGTTAATTGGATTAATTAATTGGATATTCTACCAATCATGTTTAGATTTCCATGAGGTATGACCATAAATCTTATACCCCTGTTTTTCCCCTATATTAGCACAAATGAGTTGTGTTCAGTCATGTTTTTAAAGTCATGTTGTCAACGGTTGTTACTGTATTAATTTTAAAAGTCATTGCTGATCATCCGATATCATCCGATTTTTGTGGCCCATGATTCATGACAACATGACCAACCTTGGGACGCACAAAGTTCGGCACTTTTGATCCAGGACGGAGACAGAGGGCCAAGCGGAGGCGCAGCTGTTGGCTCAGCTGCGACAGCAGTTCCTTGGTTCCTCCAGATGGCTGGTCATCCCATCCAGCTGATCATTGGCTTCACCAGGTTACTGCAGGTTACTGCAGATGCAGATCGGCTTGGGAAAAATTGAGGAAACATTTGAACATCGGCTTGGGAATACTAAGGCTGGCATTGACCAGTGCTTTCTATGCTTTTGTTCGAGACTCAGTAGACTCAGTTTACCTCGTTTTGGAACACGTCAAAAGCAAGATTTGCCAAGGAGATATGTGAAGATGTTCCAAATCTTGAGTTGGACATGGAGGATTTGATCGGATCTTTGAAGCTGAGCATGGGATGAACTATGAACTGAAAAGGAATTTTCCAAAATCAGCCAGTGCTTCCCTCAGCTGGAGGTGGCCAGCCTTCTGGCCCAGAAAGGAGCCAACGGAGCCAACGGAGCTCAGGCCCAGCAGATGATGATGAGTTTCTACCCAACTTTGAACAAAAATGGGGGGTAAACAATGGGTATAATAGCATTATATGGGGATATAATATGGGACATATATATATATTCTAATGGTTGAACCTTTCAATGTGAATTGTTCTTTCACCATAGATCTATTATTAATTACATGGGGTCCCCCAAATAGTGCTAATTCCTGCAACAACTGATTTAATATCATTCTTGTTATCTTCCCATCCTGTACGATGCGCAGGTGGACGTGATCTCATTGAAATCCTCTGCCCAGAGCGAGTCGGACGGTGGAGGTGCAGCTGAGGGCAAATGACACCAACCAATTTTGATCCAACTTTAGATGTTGGTTGAAAGTGTTGTTTGGTGAATCTTAAACATATGATTATTTTGATGGCTGAACAACAAATTCCATATATATGACAATGATCATGTGCTGGTGTGTCAACCAATATTTTCTTGCTCAAGCAATCAATGTCTTATTGTCATGTCAATGTGATCTTTTCCCACTATCAAAGATTATGAACACATGCTTTATGAGTTGTGAGTGCAACATTTTGTTGCGACCAGCTCTAATTTTATTTGCATCAGGCGCTGGCGCGGTGGAAGGACAAGCTACGGCTGCACCTGCCTGGGAAAACATCCTCAGTGTTTTGTGCAACGGATTTGAGCTGATAGCAAGGAGCGTCTTGAAAGCATTTTGAGAACAGGTGTTTGTTTTCTTATCCTCCCGTAATCAACCGCGGCAATGGAAAAGCATCCATTATCATCCATTTATAGTTGATTTTCCCATTAAACCCTCCATTTGTGGATTTCCAACTGCCATCATTGCCAGAGGCTAGTTGCAAACCAAAGGAATATCTGTGAACCAAAAACTCATGTGCTCAGATTGCCTTCCTGTACCTGACGCAACCCTGCCCTTGACCCATCCACCCCAGGTTTGATCGTTGTCTCGGTTGAAGACACCTTGGCCAAAATCAGCGACCTGGCTGACGCGGCCGAGCCAGTTGCGTACCCGGAGGAGTTCAACATTGACACGGACGAGAGCTCGTCGGAGGAAGTCGAAACGGTTGAGACCTTGGCATCTGCAGATGGGACCGGCGATGGCGATGCTGGAGATGCTGGAGATGATGATCCTGCAGATCCAGAGACCGAGGTTAAGGTGGGGACTTCAAATTGGAGAGTCCAACTACTTTGTGGCTTCTTTGGATATAAAAGTGTGCCATCTACAGTCTACCAGGTCTAACATCATCCATCATCCATTTTCTGTATAGAAACTCAGCAGATGAATCCCCCAAGATGGTGATCACAGTGATCCCCTTGCCACAGCGCTGGGCAAGGTGCGGCTGCGATTGAGAGCCTTGCTGCTGGATGCTAAAGTCTCCCGCGATGCCTGGTCCTTGCTGGCCAGTCAGGGTCTCAGGATCCCTTTTGGCGCGGCACAGAGACTTTTCCCAGAGTCCCAAGACAGAACATGCTTCGATCTTTCAAGCCATGGGGAAATCATTGATTGAAAACTATATTATTCATGTCCATCCATTTCAATATCCATGATAAATATAGTGTTCCATGATCATCCATTTCAATTATTGTGTATCTCCAGTTCTATCCATTTGGGATCCATGATCGGTCCATGTCTGGATACCAGAGGCATGGCCACATCCTTGTTGCAGCTGGGCTCGGCGCCGGCGGTCTTTTCTCCAACGATCCACCAGGACACGAAGCGTTTCGTTTCAGCACCGTGCACCCGGCTGCCCTGAAAAGCCTTGGACATTGCGTATAACGATTGATCTTTTTCCTGGTTTTAAAGTTTTAGATTCTTTGGATGGTTTTTGATGGTTTTTGTATGGTTTTAGAGTTTTAGATTCTTTGGATGGTTTTTGATGGTTTTTGTATGGTTTTAGAGTTTTAGATTCTTTGGATGGTTTTTAATGGTGTTTGTATGATATGTATATATAAAACTATATATTATAATATATATTATATATAAATGTATTTCAAGAAAAGATCATAGAATCACAGCAGTAGAATGTCTACGTCTACATTCAGCTAAATCAAACGGACTTCCCCATCTTTCCATGCACCAGGAGCCTGGTGTCGCCCCTACCCTTCTGGCTGGAAATTTTCAGCTTCGCTTTACCGAAGGCTTTCTGATGACTTTAGCCAAAGCTCTTCTGCAGAGTGTCTCAGTTGATCCATGTTGATCCCAGATGCTGGAGTTTTTTGCTGCTTCAAGCAGTTCAATCATTGAATTTCATGGGTTAACATCAAACATACTATTTGTTTCTGCTGGTTAAAACAAGGTTTTTGAAACGCTGCAAAAACCAGGTTCATCCAGGTTCATCTGCCACTGAGGTGTTGGAAGAGGTTGGAAGATTGCGGAGCCGTTGTTGACAGCCCCTTCAGCTGCAGTTGGACATCAAAACTATTGGATTTGATGATTTGATGGGCTAACTGTTGCGACGTCACCGGGTGGATCTTGACATATCTTGACCCATGAAAATCATCCGCCCGGTGACATCCATGGATGACAGGTACTGGTGCGGCTGCTGGTTGGGGCTGAGATGAGCCTACCCAGTTATGGATACTGGGCGATGAATTTGGAAAGTCTCACATCCAATGCCAACATATTCCAACAGTATGGCTTCTGCTAGGAAAAATGGGATATGATGGAATGTGTAAAACATCGTGGAGATGTGTAGACTATGAATACCAGGGGTGTATCCACAATGGGAGATTGAAGGGACATGAAAAGTGCTGAAGGCTCGGCTCGGTTGGGCTCTAAACGATCCAAAAAATGGTGCCAGAAAGCAGTTCAATTGTCCCAAACATGGGTATACTATACGGATATAATATGGATTATATGGTATACCTGAAGATGGCCAATTTACTGGGCGAAATGGCAAAGCGATGAATAAACCAAGGGACGTTGAGGTTCCAGACTTTGAGACAATCCCAGATTATTCATTAGTGTGGTCAAGAGCAATTTACAAAGAGATTCCGCTTAACATCTTTGGACCGGTGGGAATACAAGCAATTGGAGAGGGAATCGAGCTGATGGAAGTCCCAAGTCTGAGAATACGTCTTGGCCTGCAAATAGTTGGCCAGAAAAGAAATCCACCTCCATCAGTATGCCCAAATTTGTCCCCCAAGCAGCAGAATCTGCCTCTAAATCCAGGAGTTTTGGTGCAAGCTCTTCTCCTTCAGCTGGAACCTCCCAACCTTCAACGCCTGGGCGGTTTGGAGAAATGGTGGCTATGGTACCTCAGCTCCGTCGGTCTTTGGGAGGAAAGATCCAGTGGATCTGATAAATGGACCTATACAGCAGATCAGCATCATTACCAGATCATCACCACTATCAGATTCAATAGTGAATCATATTATCATTATCATCCATTACCAGATCATCCAGATTATCCATTATCCTTAGCTTATCGGCACCATTACCCATAGGATCCATGTATGGTATATATGCTAACATTGGGGGTATATTGATGGTAAATGTTACCATATACAGCATACATGGATCCTATGGGTTATCATTATCTGGTGAATCATCTTCATCATGTGGGGCTATGTCTGTTCAGAGTTTGAGGTGTGGCAGAGATCCCAAACCGTGGACGCCCAAATCTCCTGCCCGGGTGCAAACCCAGGTCCAGGGTGGTGGGAAGACTCGTGACCTGTGCCACACGTTTCCCATCGAATATGGTCTTGGCTGTAATGACAGAACCAGTGATTTTTGGGAGTGACTGGGTTGATGACTTTGACAACTTCGAGAGTTGCAGGAAAGCGACAGGAGCCAACACAGTCCCAAAGTGCAGGACAGCCAGCGTGTCTTTAGTGTTGCCGTGCTCGACAACATTTGGCTCAGCTGAGTATAATATGCTGCACATTGTTTTCTGCTCCATGTCCAGATTTCCAGATACACCAAAATAGGCAGGCAGGACTGCCTTCAGATTCACCCAAAGCTTGTTGGCAAATTTGGCACGTCTTGAGAGGACTCAACATCCAAAGATGAGACAGGTGCCAGCTTGAATTGATATTCTACCAGTTTGGACAAAACAGAACTCTCATGACAGCAAACCTGTCCTCCCGAAAGTTCAATGTTGCAAGTTTCTTCTCTGCTTGCAGATTCGGAAGCGGATTCCAACAGATCGGAAGACAACAAGGCTTGGTCCGCCGCCACCACCACCACCACCACCACCAGCAGCAGCAGCAGCAGCAGCAGCATCACCATCACCATCGCCATCACCATCACTACCTACCGCATTCTCATCACCAACCTCTCCTTCCAGCAGCCTGGGCCCAGGTGTCTACCTTTCACATGCTTCAGAGTAGCGAGGCTGAGGCCTGGGGTACAGGATTTACCCTTCACCCAATTTATATAATTATGGCCATGTCAATGAGAACATGGTTGTTGAACATGATCACCATGGGATTTAGGGGAACCCCATTGGGTTGCATTTTGTAGAGATCTCTCAGATCATCATTTACCAAGCAACCGCTTGACCAAATTGCTGCTTGATTGAAGAAGTGATGAGATACTCCCCTGACGATTCAGTTGTCCCTGGAAATGTCCAGCCAGGTGAGCGGAATGTACACCAGTTTCTTCACCGACAGCGAACTAAGTTTGGATGGACAGGCACCGCAATGACTTTCAAAAGAATGTGCACCTGGGAGATATCGCAGTGGAACAGCATGCTGTCTACACAAAACTCTTGGACTTGATGCTTTGTTACGTTCCTGAACCGCAATCGAGATCAGGGCCCCTTCTCACACTTATAATCGGGTTCATACTCGACCCCAAGAAACTGGCATTAAACCTATTTTCCCCCCAGTGACTAGGGCGTTTCTGCAGCCCTGCAAATGATTGGGGGGCCTGCATTGCAGAGGCAGCGGCTGAAAGAATACCTTCCAGCCGATCTTTGCCATCACGGTCGCACAGCAGCCGTGGAAGTCCTTTGGGTGGTGTGGAGGCCACTGAACGAGCCTTGAGGGTTGAGGTTCGTTTGGGTGTCTGAAATAGAACATTTGGGTATACCTTTCTTTATGCCGTTCTTTTTGGATCTTGAGTTCTTTCACCTTTTTTGGGAGGAAGATGCGTGAATGCGTGCATGTGCGTGCTGTCCAAAGAGAATGACACTTCTTGGCGCACATGCGCAGAAGAACTTTGTGTCTATGAGCATCTATGAGTCTACATTTTGTCCAGCTCACTCTTCCAGGAGTCAGAAGAATCCCACAGTGTGTCGCCAGAGATCAATGGACAGCCAGTGGGCAAGATCCCATCATCAGGACAGATCGTGTGTTGAACGCGTGAGATGTTTAACGAGGTCAGTGCCCTATCCATTTGCAGAAAATAGAACTTGTGGGTGTTGAACTGAGCCTGGGTGAATTTATGAGTCTGCAACTTTCCCTGAAGAAGAATGAAGAAGCTATCTTGATACATTTTGTTGGACTGTTGAGTCACTCAAGTCCCCAATTCTTGAATATGTCACATAGGATCAAAACTATCCACACCAAACTGAATTGTTTCTTATCCCAAAGATTACCAATATTGACCCAGTTAAGTGATCAACTCCCTCTCAAATGGAAAATTTACGACTAATGATGTGTTGTGTTCACCATGGTTTAAACTACAGATGACCAACTTAGCACCAATGCTAGGTACCACCAATCTTCACCAATTTCTTCACTCGCAGTGAAACTCACAGGACACCAACGTGACCAAAAATGGCTGGAAGAGCAGCTCCAAAAACAGCACTGGCAGGCAACATGGCTTCATTTTTTGCCATAAATATGGGGGGACCCCCAAATCATTCAATCATCTCAGTGGAAATGGTGGTTCATTGTCACCATCAAAACAACAGGTTTATTCATTATGTGTTGATCCCTAAAGAATGTCTTCTTGTTGGATCATAGGTACCCCAATCCGCACCTTACATAGCTGAAACTCTCCTGCCGGGTCCCAAACTTGGAGGCCTTGTCCCTACTGGTGAGGAGCGCTGCAGATGCCCCGGTGGCTGCGTTGTTGGGGAGTTCCAATCGCTTCATGGAACGCATCTGTGATCCTCGGCCTGGCTTGGGGGTTGGTACCTCAAAACAGGGAGATTTATGGTTAACATTTATAGACCCGCCCCATTTCTGGCATAATCATAGCATCTTATGGATTTTGGAGTTCTAAATCTGACCCAAGTCATGTCTCCAAAGTTTTCGGGTTTTGGGGAAGACCTCAGTCTTAAAACATCAGAATTGATGGCCTCGGGAACTGCTGGTGCTCATTTCTAGTCTTCATCGCTGTCATGAAACGACCCCGTGGATAGTGAGATCACGGAATTTGAGGCCTTCACTTGCTTCGCACTGTCGCCCTTGATGGTGGAGAACCTTCCCCGTTTCGCTGGAAAGCTCAGTTTTCTCAGTAAGAAAACATGGGTTTCTATTTGGATTGGAATTGCATATGTTTTTTTTTCCAAGGAAACATCTGGAAATATCTTGTCTTGAGAATACTTGAGATATCTGGAGTGTATCTTGAAGTGTAAGACTTCACTGGGCTCCACTTAGGCCGAAAGTCATCCACGTGGTAAGTTGATCTCTACTTTGAGGCGGGAGTCCCCCCAGTTCACCTGGATTGCATCTTGGAACCTGATTTTCCCATATTTTCCCCATGAAATCGCCGTAAACTGATGGTGAAACCATCTCCGTAGTCATGCGAGTGTGCCAATGCCAGGCCTGGGCGATTTCTGGATCTTCCCATGTCTTTCGATCCCTTGGTGCAGCTGCACCAGCAGTTGATGGAGACCGTTCATCGCCCTGCGATCGACACTCAACAAAGATCAGAATGCCTAGAATAGGTTAAGTAACTATTAATCTGTGAACATTCATTCCACGTCATTCCACTATGTTTCAACTGATTTCCTGTTGCCACACTAAACTAAACAATGATTTGGTACCATCATCTTGGGGTTGGTGTAGAATCCCTGCAAAATTGCAGTAGAATTGGTAGATTGGCGTGGATGTTTTGGTTGGCTGTTGGCAAGTTGCCCGACCATCAGTAAGTCTGACCTGGCTCAGGACCCCTACAGTTTCTCGTCAGCACCTGGGGACAGCCAGGTATCCCACTTCGGGGTGCATCCAGCATCTATCTAGTCCAGATCATCTCCAACTTGGGTGATTTCAGCATTGTCCTCCATGGGTCCTTCTGTGATAAGGTTTGGTGCCCCCAGCACTTCAACAGCAGCTCTGTTGCAGCTTCCTACGCTTTTGGCACTCAGCAGATCTCATGGAGCAGGACAGGGTCGGGTCCCGGGATGATGGAGGTGACTGTTTTGAAGATGACTCCTCAAGCTGGAGAGCAATAGAGGATAGTTACCCTTACTATAACTGCTATAGATCAGGATTAGTATGATTAGTAAGGGTAACTATCACCATCTATCTATCCCCGGCCTTAACAACTTCTTGCCCAAAACCAGTCGGATAGATTTGGAGGAACCTGGTATAGAGCACCATCCATCGCAAACCGTTGTGTAAGGCTTCCAGCATAGCGTTGAAAGAGCATGGTGGTACCTCAGCCAGCCCAAGGCCGCAACATGCTACCTATCCTCCGAATCCACTTTGAGCATCTCAAATCATAGTCAACTATACAAGTCGCAAGACCTTGCTCCAAAAAACAGGACATCCAGCAATCAATTTCTACCAAGCTATATTATCCTGCCATCATTGCATCATCCCATCATCCCCTGCCATTTCCACAGCTACCATTGAGGCCCCTAACTCGGTGAATCTTCCCATGGTGGAGCGCTTCCTCCAGCTGTTGCTGAGTTGGTGCAAGGACTCCAGCATGCGGAGGTGGGCCGGGACCATGGCCCCCAAAAAACTCAACGGGATGTTGAGTGAACTTTGAAGTTAGATGATGTAAGATGGACTCAATTCTGACTGACACACATTTGCTGAAGTTTTAGCTTTAATCAGTCTCTTTCCCCATCTTTCCCCATCTTTTCCCATCTTTCCCCATCTTTCCCCATCTTTCCCCATCTTTCCCCTTAAGGCCCTTGGAGATTTCAGCCTGCGTTGGCGACAGGTGCTTGGTCCGTGGCCGCAGTTGCGCTGCCTTGCGCTCGGTGCTGGCCTTCGTGGCGAATGGCTCTCAGGAATCCCATGGTCCGATGCTTGTTGATGGCCGCCTTTACTACGTAATATATCAGATAAATAACCATCAACAATATATTAATCTGATATATATATATATATTATAATCTAGATTAATAGCCCTGGTTGATTTCCAAGCATCCTTCCAAACTGGTAACCGTAATTGTACTGTCATCCGTAAAGATGCTGCTTTGGTGACAAGAAGTTGTGGACAGAATGGGGTTCTGTTTTTGGCTCCGCTGTCAGGAGCAGCGCTTGGAAAGTGCGGAGCATGAGGAAATTGCGAAGAAGTCAATGGAGAAGATGTTTGAGACTCGAAGTGAGACCGTTCATATCGGGTCGGTATGTCTCAAGATTGGGTAACTACCCCAAACCCATCCAAACCACTCACAAATCTTTCTCTGATGTTTATCATTGAAATGAGGATTTTGGATGATTTTGGGGCATCCTCAATTTTGAGACAGAGCCATAGCAAGGGCGGAGATGGAAGGAGCTTGAAATCCCAGGATATCTACCATGGCCATCCATGGCCCACACCACAACCTGTCCTTGTACTCCACCTGAAACGATCATGGATGATCATGGCAACTGGAACTGCTGACCCTCTGGAAGATGATTTCCGTCTTGAGACCTTGGGGACACAACTATAAGATCGTTTTAGTACTTTCGTGGCTGGTTCAACAAAAACACAGATCAGATTTTTATGCCCTGGCTACGGTTTTCAACAATCAAATGCCAACAATCATTCCTATTCTATTAAATTTATAGCAGTATCCTAAAGTATCCAGGAAAAAATCTGTCTCACGGATCTGGATTTGTGCCATCCAGGATTTGACCAACTTTCTGGCCATGGCTCAGCCGGATCCCACAGAGGCAGACCTTGGGAAGCTGTCGAGGGTGGGACAGGTGGAAAATGAATCTTGGAACTTGCGAACACAATGCAGTTTCAGTATTTTTTGGGCCAGGAGAAATTTGAGTTGTACTGGGCAAATGCTGCATTTGGATGAGTAAAAGAGAGAACATTATGCTTCTTGGAAGAAAATCCTAGGAAAGATAGGGGACTGGTCCTATTTCGATCAAGCACTAAGAATTGCTCTGCAATTTTGATACCAAGATCTGCGTTGACCAGTTTGTGAAGTGAGCACACAACAATCCCAAAACATGTTTGGGTTCTTTTTTTCCGGGACGTTCGATCGTGTGTCTTTAGCTGGGAGGTGTGAATAATCCGCAGGACCTGCAACGATTCTTTTTGGGTCTCTGACTACTCTCCACCACACAGACACTTTGCCATGTGCAGCTTTCCCAGGTGTATTTTTTGGAGGTTGGTTTTCTCATGTTTTCTCCAAGTACCCAATGGATTCTGATTCCAGTGGATTCTGTCCACAATTTTCCATCAGTCGCTGCCAGGTGGATGTGTCTTTCACCATGCTCTGGCGCTTCATGCTGCAGCCATCCCTGGCCTTAGCGGAGTCACAGCGTGTCACCGTGATCTCCTGGTGCCAAGAAGCGACGCTGCTGCGCATCCTGCGGCAGGTCCGACCCTGCAGATCACTGCAGATCTGATGACAAAGATGATCAAAGATCAGCAAAGTTCTAAACCAACAATAGTAAACCATGGTAAATCATCCCCAATGGTAAATCCAACAATAAATGAGCAACCGTAAAAACCCCGGAAATACTAAATATGTATTCGACGGACATTGGTTTATGGAAATTGATGGAAATTGTTAAAGACACGAGGTAAGCGATGGGACCTTCCCAAATTAGCGATACCCCTTTTCAAGGTTATGTCATCATATTTCTCTAATATCCACATTAGCGATACCCAAATATCACATATTATTCATAGTTCATCACATATATATATATAATATATAAATGCAGCAGTTTCCTGCAAGCGATACCCCCCCAAGTTTACCATATATCATTATTGTACAAACGTGTGGTAAGCGATGGGACCTTCCCAAATTTGTTGATGTCCTTTCCGTGAACCTAGGGTTTTCACAATCGCTCAAATGGTAAATCAAATACTAAACCATGGTAAATCCAACAATAAACCATCCCCAATAGAGGCTTAGTATTTGCTATGTACCGCTATAAGTAGAAGCTTATTGCATCTTATTGCTATATATATTATATACCGGATTATACCACCACTTTTTCATTGAGAATGCATGTGGCTTGCACAGCGTGGTGGATGTCTTTGAAACTTGGACCCAGCCTGACCAGGATATGCAGCTGCTGAAGCTGTTGATTTCATGGTACGAGCCGGAAGGTGATTCTCAAGGACCGTGCCGCCCAGTGTCCCCATGAGATTCTGGAGCAAGATCCAATGGGTCTTTTTTTTGCCACTGAAGAAGTTTGATCTCCACAATAAACATCAAAGTTATACAATGGGAACATCCCAACAATTTCTAGATGTTCACAGCATGTCCCCAAAAAAACCATCAGATTTCCATAGATTTCCCAGTCCAGTCACAGAGATCTGCAACTGTGGTGAAGCCTCCGAGGATCTGCCCACAGTTCCATGCTGAAAAGTTTCATGGAGAAACATCCGCTGCTTCCGCATCCGGTGAAGCTCTTGATGCCCAAGGCACCGAAATGGCTTGTGACGGACAGAACAAGGCCATTGTTTCTTGAATTTCTGCTGTACTATGTCCTACCTCTTCCTTGATTCTACAAACATACAAGAGCAGAGAAGAGTTTTAACTGCACAGTTACTGTAGGATATTCCACAGAGCTTTTCAAGAGTTGACACGCTGGCAAATTTGGCACAGCGAAGGCTTCCCTGGCATGTTATGGTACTCTTCACAATGGTTGGCCCTTTCTCGATTTTTGGACACCTCCACTTTGGATCAGTTTGGTTGTTTCTTATATCCCTGCTTGTCATAGTAACAATTGGTTGGTTAATCCTAATCCAAATGGTACAAGTCTCCAATTTCTTGTTCAATCCCCATACTTTGCAGGTCCAATCTCAATTTTCGCTTCTTTAATCCCCATAGTTTGTTGTTTTTATCCCTATGTTTTCTCACGTCATTCCACATTGATATTGAGTTTACCCAGTATGTTTGGATATTGGATCCATCTCTGCTTCATCCAGTGCTTTTGTGCTGGGATCTCCAGCTGGTGCCCAGCGGTGTCCGGCGGTGCCCGGCGGTGCCCAGCGGTGCCCGGCAGGCCGAAGACGAAGTGCACGGCTTGTTCCCCTTGGAGACTCGCGCAGTGGCGCGAGATCGCTCCCGGCTCCGCGGAGATCTGGCTGCTGCTCGATGACTGGATGACTGGGGACGGTGCTGTAAAATGATGGCTGGATAAAGTTAGATGGTTACGAGATTGGTTGGTGAAGCCTCATATTTCTGATCTACCATATTATTCTATAATTCTATGATGGTTCATGATGGTCCATCATACGGAAACCATCAAAAGTGGCTATCATGTTTGGTATTTGAGATTTGATATCAAAGCAAAGTCAACAAGAACAGTGGTAAATTCAGATCGTCTATCATGATGGTAACATATATCAAGACAACAACAATCACCACAATAACAGCAACACATACCATATACATCAATATACTATGTTGATTCAGATGATACATCCTGAACAGAACAAATATATATATATATATAATATGATATATATATATATATGATGTCTTCGTATTGTTTTTTTTCCCTCTAGTGACTTCACCTCTGATTTTGGCGCTGTCATTTCCCTTTGTGGAAGCTGCCCAGGACCTGGACTGTGAGGTGCCAGCCTGGACGCTGATGCTGCGAAACGTCCTGTGATTTTCGCCGAGTGCAAATCGTCCTGTGAAACTCAGCGGTTTGGGAGGCCGGAGGACCAGGGTGACCAGAGTTCAGGGACTTTGGGTGAGATATATAATTTCTTGTGAATATCTTCCAAAACATCTTCCAAAACATCTTCAAATCAATGAGATTTCAGGGTTTTCAATTATTTTTGAAGGTTCTGTTGCTTTCAAAATCACAAGATGAACATTTTTACATTGCCCCAGCATCCCAGGAGCTGAGAAGATCAACGACCTCTTGCAGCGAAGCTGTCCCACATGCCACGCTGTCCACGGGCGTCAAGATGAAGGCACTGGATCTCACAATCTGGCAGAGAAGGAACACAATTAAGCTGAATTGATTGGTTTACTTAACCTGTTTCGAGAAACAAAACCAATAGGCACACTATTCATGGGGTTACTTATGGTTATTTGGGTGGGGGCAACTTGAATGGAGTTCATTACAACTGGTATCACATTCGTCTGCGATTTAGCTGGCGGCCAGCTTCAGGAGGTCTTCTGGCGGCTGAAATATGAACGACGTGAAGAGGTCTTACGACCAACTGACCTTGACAGACGTGCCGACTCCTCAGAGCGTTCTAGGTTGACACCTTGTTGGCCAAGGTTTGGAGTGCTAAGGTTGGGGATGTTGATCTATATGACAACATTTCGACAAATCGGCACATCCATTGGACAGATCCATTGGACAGAGCTGTGATGCAGCCTGACATGAGTGGATGCGTTCTCAATCGACCAACATTTGGCTCAGTTAAGCCCAGCCATAGCCCGGCCCAGCCCTCCATCTCGAGCCAAGCCCAATTTCAAGCACCTCGGCAGCCTCGGAAGTTTTGATTCTGGATCTGGAACCCCACAGTCCCATGGTTTATTTTTATACCCATTGGATGAGATGATGAACCTACGTATATATGATCTATGCATATAACTTATTATATATTTTTTTTGTATATATATAATTATATTATATGCGACCTTGATACAAGAAAACAGCATCCGGACCTCTGTTTCAGGTGTAGATTGTGGTGCCCAAACCCAACTGTTTTCTCAAACTCCATTGGCTGGTCTTATCTATCTTTCTGTTTCTCTTCCCAATGGTTTGGTGAAAAATACATCAACATTTCCAACCCAAGGAGCACTGCACATTTGAATATGTTTAGTAGTAAATCATCCACAACCATCTCCCATGCTTTTCTATACGTATATATATAATATAATATAGTATATATACAATATGCTTATACTGTATATGGATTGCTCAATATTCTCCAGTGTTTGTTGGTTTCCCTATACATTTTGTATCACCGCCGAGGGCGAGCGAGATGCTTTCAAAGTTTCCCAAACGGCTGGCGCAGTTGGCGGGCCGTGCTCGAGTGGCAGGTGCCGAACCGAGATGGCGGAAATGGCCCTGTTTTGAAAGAACCCGATGGCCCAAAAATGCCACGATTCATGGTGAATTTCAATGAAATGTCTCAGGTTTTGGTTTTCTTTTGATTTCATGAAATGTCCAGGTTTTTGGATGCTTTTGGTTTCATGATCTGGTTGGTGGTTTCAAACATTTTTGATTTTCCATAACGTATGGGATAATCCTTCTCATTGACTAACATTTTTCATGATGTTCTTTGACATTTTAAATTCATTGCTTTACTCAGCCGGGAAGCTGTGCAGCAGGTCCAACATGCAGGATCCGACCACAACTCTTCCAGGCTGCGGTGAAAGTGAGGATGTCAATTTGAGGGTCAAATTCACAGCATTTTTTGAGTCAAAAAGACCCATATATATATAAATAAATAATATAATTTGCATAAGTATATATATATAACTATAACATTATATATTATATATCATATATCATCTATCATATATTATTTGATATATTAACTATTAGATATTATATTGTATATTATATACTATATATCATATATCATATATCATTTATCATATATCGTATATTACATATATTATATTACATATATTATATTATATATTTGTTTAATTCTATTTGATATTATGTATTGTATTATATATATATATTGTGTATTGTATTATATATATATTATTATATTTCATATAACATTTGACAACTTCTCAACTGTTTTTTTGTGTCCGAATGTTGAGTCAATGGGAAAACTTCAGCTGCTTGTCCTTCAAACCAGCATCTCCAGCCATGCTTCCATCGATCTTGTGGCTGCTTCCCACTCTGGCTGCAGCCACTGGAGCCACTTGCGAAGCTGCCGACAGCTCCCTGTTCCAAGCAGCTCATCCCTCAGTGCCCAAGTCCGTGAAGGCGGCGGCTGACGCCTCCAACAAGGTGAATTTCTGCCTCGGAAACACCGGGCGTTGCTTCGATTTCCCGGCCCTGCATGGCATCACCCGTGCGGGGCGCACGGTGTTTCACCGATGTTCTGAGGTGAGCGGTGACCAAAATCTTTGTTGATGGGCGGTTAACCATGGTTAACCATCAAATGATCATCAGATAATAGTGTGCTTGAACCACCAAGAATGGAGAGATGATCCAAAAATGATGCTTGCTTGATGGTATTTTGATGGTTGACTAGTTATTTATCCTTAAGCTATCTGGTTACATAGGAATCATGACCCATGGATGGGGACCTCTGTTCTCAACCAGAATGACATGGCGCGTTTTGCACTTCTTAGGTGGTCCGGACTTTTGAAAGCATTCTGGGCATCATCTGCGACTATTCCTCCCAGACACGGACCTTGCCCTTGCAGCTGGTGACGCTGAACAACTTCACCAAAACAGCTATTCAAAAGGCCTTGATTTTGGGTGGAGCAATTGGAAGTGGAGAGGTGTACACCAGCTACATGCCGATCCTGAGCCCGGATTTCTTCAATGCCACCACCTTCATTCCCTATGCCATTCAGGAGACGGGGCGAGCCCGGAAAATCCACGAAAATCCCAAGGTCTCACCAGGACCATCCCATAAGTGTACCACCATGATCACTATGCCAGAGGATTACCTACATTCATTGCAATTCCACAACATCATACAGGCCGTATATGGATGCTGATGGTATGATGGTGGATGGTTCATACATACCATACCATACCATACCATACCATACCATACCTTGCCATACCATACATACCATACATACATACCATACATACCATACATACCATACATACCATACATACCATACATACCATACATACCATACATACCATACATACCATACATACCATACATACCATACATACCATCCATACCATGCATACCATGCATACCATGCATACCATGCATACCATACATACCATACATACCATACATACCATACATACCATACATACCATACATACCATACATACCATCCATACCATGCATACCATGCATACCATGCATACCATGCATACATGCATACATGCATACATGCATACATGCATACAGCCCCTTCAAAAATATGGCGGCTTTTGGTGGAGGAGTACTCTTTCCTTATCAACTTCCAGGCGGATTTGGACCTGCGCCTGGGTCTCTTTGCCTTCGCCGTCCACGTGGGTGGCTACGTGGTCCCCACCGGGGTGGCACATCGCGCCTACACGGCGGTGGCGGAAATCATTAACGATGATGATGATGGGATGGAATTTGCACAAGGTTTGGCTTGGTGGTTTATATATATATATTACATATACATGTGTATATGTAATATACGTATATATATATATATATATATATATATGTGTGTGTGTGTGTCTTATGTGTTTTTTTATGTTCTTCATTTCCATATGCTACAGGCTACAGGCGTATGGAAGATGTGCCAATGAAGATTTCCATAGGCTAAAGTAAGATGGTTCTGGAATAGTTAGCAACAGTTAGGCCAATAACGGCCACGTGTTGATAAATATTCCAACACCATCTTTAGCAGATGGGATGGTTTTTGTTCATGGCAATGACTGTGGGGGGTTCCCAACCACCAGAGGTTCTGGAGACAATTGGAAGAGCGATACCTTTGCTGCACAGCTCATTGGGCATACCTTCATTGCTGGGATGTTGGAGCCAACCTATGGAAACCACTTGATCTTGGACTTGAGTGGTGAAGGCTTCTCCACGGGTCGTATGCAAGTCTTGAAACGTGCAGCCTTGGCCATTGCTCCCAAGAGCTTGCTGAGAGCGCGTGGCTTTCTGGAGACTGGAGTGAATGGACCCAAGTTGACGGGAGTTGAAGTTCAAGTTGAGCCCCAGAAGTGGCTGAAGTTCGAACCAAAGGATGGCACCAGATGGATCATGGCCAAAGTGACTTTGTTTGCCTTGGCCAACTTCCTGCTACAATGCTTCCACACTGGCATTCATTTGTACACTGGGGCAGTGACATCTGCCATCAAAAGGTCAATACCAGTGGGTACCAACTTTGGCAAAGCCATTCAGCCCAACACCTTGCAGACCATCTTCGCTCTCTTCGAACAAGCGGCGGCTCTACACGCCTCGCATGGAGCGGCATTCTCGGGAAGTGTTGCTGGGTGCTGGTTGTATCATGGCAGTTTTTTTTGGGGGGGTCCTTGGCCAAAGTCAAAGGGGCCGAGCTGCTTCAACTGTACATCTTTGGTGGTTTTATGGTTTCATTCATTCTTTTGATATCTTTTGATCAATTGACCAGTGGCTTGCCCACCAACATCACCCACCAAGTTTGGAATTGCAACATCACGGCGATTTGGACTCTCACTGTGGACATTGCTCAGTTCTATTTCAGCAGCCCGGATCCACCCAAAGACATCTTAGGGATCACTGACTCAAGTCCTGATTGGTGGGCTGGAAGTTCTCAAAGCTTCTATGCTCCAATCTCCGATTTCGCAGATGTAGTAGCTGCCGAATCTACTTCAGATCCCATTAATGCTCTTGCTTTGGCAAACTTGCAGACAGAGCTGCAGCATGTGGGGATTGCGACCGGTCAGAGTTCAGTGGATGTGACAACTTCTGAAGGATTGGCCAAACTCACCAAGAATCTGCTTTTTGTGGCGGGAATTTGTCATTCTCACATGTACTTGGGGCGTGAATTCTTCACGCCTCTGATGGGTTTCGTTGAAACGGCACCTTTCGGCCACTACCTGCAGCCTGGTTGGTCCATCTGGGATTCTTTAGGCTTTGAAGCCGTGGTCACAAAGATTTGGTTCACCGTCCCCAGCACCATCAGTCAGCAGATGATCTTGGCCTATGGCACCACCTCAGGATTCAGCAGTGGTGTTCCGGAGCTGGGAGATGGACCATACATGGTTGCTTCCAACAGTAATCTCAACTCGGCTGTGACCACTTTCAGGGCTTCTCTGGATGCATCAAGGCAACAAGTATATGGGATCTTTGGTGACTTCAAGAATGGCACATTTGTCCCGGGATATTTGTATCCTAGACAGGTGAAAAAACCTTTTGGGTATGCAATTACCCAGACTTCCTATATTTGAGTCATTTTGAGTAGAGAAAACATAGAAAACCTTCAACCCTCAGAGTACCCAACATGTTGGGGGTGAACTCCCCACGGTTTTAGGGTTCATTGAGGGTCTAACCAAATTGGTCCAAAAGAGACCCAGCTGCTGTGCAAGGGCACGGGTCGATTGGGAATGGCTTAGAAATTCGCCAGAAATGGATGGCTTGATATGGTCAGATAATGTCAGTTATGATGCGTTTAAATGTTGTTAAGCATGCTGATGACCAATTCTGTGGGTCCATTACCACCCAACTTTAAGCATTTTTGAGCCACAACCAATTGTGTGTAGAGAACAGCTGCCTCTGAATGCTTTCCTGGAGCGTTCCCGTATAGCCGGTGTATGCCGGTGTAGACACGTCAAGATGGATCCAAAGCGTAACATCAGGAGGAAAATGCGTGTGTGGCAGTGTCTCGTATATTTGGGTGGTTTTTTGGGTGAAAGGCAAGCATTTATCTAGTATAGTGTATGGTTTGGGACGCTGTTTGGGATATGTGATATATGGATATATGTGGCAGTGATATGTTCAGGTTTGCAATCCTTCCCATTCCAGGAATAAATCTTCTCCCAGAAACTTTGGTTTGGTGATGCCATGGCGCAGGCGGCCCAGCAGCGCAGCAAGACCGGAAGCATTTCGGCGCCATTGGCTCCTGAACCACCCTTCCCTACGGTGCGCTGGGGATCTGTGAGGAGTTGTAGTCATAGTTGGTCAACGAAAATGCAGGTTTTACAAGCATAGTGGGAAATGAGGAGTGATGTATAGTGATTCTAGTACCATATAGCATAATATATATATATAGTGGGATAATCAATATAAAACACAATATGGTATGCATTCCTAAATACCTAAAAATGGTGGATTTACCACCACTTTACCATCCATCAAACATGGGTAGCACGATGCACCATGGCCACCATGGGATGGAATGGGGATCCGAGATACCGACGGCTGAAATAATGGTACGTTCCTCGGATTCCTTCTAGCGACATTTAGGTTGAAATACCGATATGGGTTTGTCTGAAAATAGGGTATATTCCCAATTATAGCCATTTAACAGGGATAATGATCATTAACCATTGGGTTTAGGGGTACACTATTTTCAGACACACCCATATAGTATACTGTAGACACAATCGTGTATATTTGGATGTTACTGTGCCCATTTTCCTTTTTCCACTGTCATCTGGGTACTGGAAATCATGTTTCACTCTTGGCCAAAGTTTTGCCAGCCATGCCTTTCTGCCATATTATTGAATCAATTTTCTACCATTTTTCCAAGATGTTCCACGATGTTCCAAGATTCCCAGGTGGTGGTGTACAACCAGTCCAAGCATGCCACCAACTCGGTGCTGGCCGACATCCGCGCCGTTTGGGGCAGCCGAGTTCGGGTGATCCAAACCTTGGAGGTGCCCTGGGATCCGATCCAAACCCAGGTCCATCCAGATTTTATCTTTATTTCTGGGAGAAGATTTTCTATATATTCAGATATATTCTATATATTTATATGGGTGATTCTAAGATTTTCTCACCACATCACGGACAAAATCAGTGGCTACTTATTGGTTGTTTCTCCATTCGCCCAGGAAGGCAACCAGCGGCTACCAGGGATGGATGCAGCGCTCTACGTGCGGCCCAAGTCTTGGGGCGATTTGGATCATTTCAAAGAGCGATTGGATTTCATGTGCACCCAGGAGAGGGAAGGATGGTGAAGGATGGTGAAGGATGGTGAAGGATGGTGAAGGATGGTGAAGGATGGTGAAGGATGGTGAAGGATGGTGAAGGATGGTGAAGGACGGTGAAGGACGGTGAAGGATGGTGAAGGATGGTGAAGGATGGTGAAGGATGGTGAAGGATGGTGAAGGATGGTGAAGGATGGTGAAGGATGGTGAAGGATGGTGAAGGATGGTGAAGGATGGTCATAGATTCATTGGCCCTTCAATATATGTATATATATATATATATCAACAATATATCAACATATATCAACATATTGTTGGATGTTGGATGATATATATTGACTATATTGGAGGATATATTGGATGATGAACCATATGAAGCTTATTTTTTGGGGATGGTGTTGAGATTCGATTGCAAAGAGGTTGCCCCTTTCAAGCCACAGAATGTCAAGATCTGATCGTAGAAAATCTAATTGTCACCCCCTTCAGTTGTAGCGGGTAGGTTGCTACGTCCCAGTTCACTGGGGAGTCCGGGAGACCTGAAGAATTTCTTGAGATTTAAGTACAGAAGTACGGCCACTGGCCACCGCGGCAATGTATGTTGATTTTTGTCGTAGGTTGGGGGTGACCCATTGCATCCCGTTGGCATTGGACACGCATAGTGCGGCCGGAATCTGAAGAGGACCATGAACTTGCCCGTCATCGATCTTCCAGACAGGCACCAATGCCTGATGCTGTCTTGGCCATGTCCCAATTCCCATCTTGAGTGGCAATAATATATTCTATGTCAAATCTCAATATATTTGACTTGCTTGGCTCTTGCAACTTGCATCCACTTCCATCATCCTCATTAGATTTCTCACACACACACATTATTGGCAATTATTGGTGGTTTACTTCGAAATCTCCAAAATCTCTACATTTTTTCCTTAACCTCCGACCCAACCCCCTAACCGACCTCGAAGCAGGTGGTCTTCATGCCCGGTTGGTCCGCCTTTGCCGAGTCCGCCGAAGCCGCCGTGGGGGTCGAGGCGCTGAATTTGGTGTGGCCTGGGACGGAGCCCAAGGCATCGCAGGGACTGGAGAAGATTGGCTTCAAACGTATCTGCAGCTGGGATGATGTTGAGATGTTGGGCTTGATGGTGAAACTTGCAAGAAACATGTGTATAATTTATATAGTTGATGTTTTGAGGTGATCCAACTAAGATATTGATGGTTTATATTTGGGTAAAGAATGCAATTTACATATGCCAGCTGCGTGAGGGTTGGTGGGGTTCCACCCGAGCAAAAATAACAATAGAATCTAACAGAGGATCCAATTGGTTTATTGGGATGATAAGGTGGTCAGTTGAACCAATGTATTTTAGAAGATTTTAGAAGCTGAATAGCTTACTTGCAAGGGGATGCGCTTAAGTCAGAGAATCCAGATGAATCTGCACCCTTTTGTCTTCCGGCCAAAGTTGTTGTGGTTCGCGTTTCTTGGTTTTGTTCCTTCCAAGATCTTCCAAGCGATATCGTGAGACCACATCTCCCCTTTTTACAAGCAAGAGAAAGGGTTGAACTCAAACTTTGTGAGGCCCCTATATCATATTCCAATGGTTTCAAAACTTCATTTTCCCATTTTTCATCCCTCGATCTATAAACCTGCAAATGCCATTAAATGCCTATGATCTAGAATGACCAGCAACATAAGATATAAGGTGTATCTCGGCTACGTATCCCCCATAGCCCGTTGACCAAGGCGAAGCCGTTGGTGCGCCCACGCCGCCCTTCACCGTGCTGTCGGAGGAGGATGCGCCCAAGGTGGACCTCACGGACCCCGATGCCAAGGAGGTGCCTGGTGGGGCCTGGTGGGGGAAGATGGTTGGTGTCATGAGTGCCATGTCCTTGTTTTAGAAAGCATTTCCTGGAGAAGAGTTGGAGAATGCTGGAGATTCATGAGCAAAGTAGACTGCAGCATGCTAAAAAATGAGAGAGTCCACCAGGCTTGCTGCGAAATTTCACGCCATATCCATGACTAAACATGTGAAGTCAATTTGGACAGCCTCTCATTTGTTGCAGGCTTGTGTCAAGGAGTTTATCGACAAGGTCCTGAAAATGAATTTCCACGAGAAGGGTGACCTGGCAGCTCAATGTGGTAGGCACGAAATGAGGCTCATTGATCTGGATGCGGCCAGCAGACAGATCTTTGTTTTTGTCTCGTCACAAGCCATGAGGCTTGATCAAGTCCATCCACGGTGGTGGTGGCAAGGGCACAGCCCACTTGACCCACCCAGACAAGGAGCCAGAGGTGCCTGGTGCCATGAGCATCTCAATCTGGCCATGGCTCATGGGGTTGCCAATGGGCCCATAACATCGGTCCACTTAGCATCAAACCATGCAATTGTGGTTTGATATTACCCAATTATCGGCACTTCAGATCTATGAAGCGCAATTTTGGAGTCTTTCAGATCTAGACAACCCCATTTCATCATCCGGGTTTATCGTTTATCATCACTAAATTGCCATCGAATGGAATACACCCCCGTTAGCCCATTATCTCTTACTATCTCCCACTACCCATCTGGCAATTTAACATAGCCATGGAAACATGGACGAATTACTCGTTTCTAGATGGTAGCTCCATTGATATTGGATCTCATGGGATTTCCCGATGGGCAGGTGGGCATGTTACCTATGAAACATGGCCCTTGCCCCGCAGGTGCGCCGCGCAGTGGAGAAGGTGGTCACCGAGATGAATCGGACGGATGGCATCTACTTCGAGCAGCGGGCGCCATGGCGGAAGTTTTTGGGTGGGATGTTTGGTGGAGATATTTGTTGGAAACTGATGGAAACTGATGGGAACTGATGGACACATTGGAAACTATCTATTTATCATATATTTATCATCAATGTTGGTTCCTGATTAGTGTGAGGCCCCCCCCCTCTAAACAATATCTGGACTCTCTTTAAAGTGGAAAGTCAAACAAAATCTTCCCAAGAGAAAAACAAATCCTCACTTAAGTAAGGATTTCAATTGGCTACAATTGAAATCTAATTAAAACTGTTTTTTGCGGATGAACTTGTGGTACTTGTAGTACTTGTAGTATTTGTAGTACCTGTAGTACTTGTAGTACTTGTAGTACTTGTAGTACCTGTAGTACTTGTAGTACCTGTAGCAATTACAGGTTGTTTTTTTCCAAACAACAGCTCTCCCAATTGTTTTTTGCCACAAAAGTGAACCCTCCAAACAATACGTGGGTTTCAGAATAATTTGGAAACATATTGCCACAATAGCGAACCTAGCTACTAATAAGAGACCGACATTATCTATCTATCTATCAATCTATCTATCCATCCATCCATCCATCCATCGACCTATCTACCTATCTACCTATTTACCTATCTACCTATCTACCTATCTACCTACCTATCTACCTACCTACCTATCTATCTATCTATCTATCGATCGATCCATCCATCGATCCATCCATCCATCTATCCATCCATCCATCATTCATATAGATACATATCTGGATTGAAATTGATGATGGAAACTGATGGAAAGCTGAATGATTTGAATGGCTGAGACGAAAAAGTCGACCATGACACTAGACGGCTATGAGATGGCAAAGTTTTCTTCAATAGTATGCTAGCAACAGAAACCTTTCCGCGTGCTCGGCCTCAGGTAAACACAAAAGGTGATGGACGCTTCTACCAGATTGAGCTGGAGGCGGGTATGCTGGTCACCTCCAGGGTGACTTTGGACACGCAGAGAAGCAATCGATTTTGCTCTGAAGATTAAACTGAGAAATGTCATTGTGAGATTGTTGCCTTTTCCTTTTATCCGGCGATCAACAACCTTTTCCAGAGAGAAAGATGATGGAATATGAGCACAATTGCATTCGATCTTGGTCGATTCCTTCCTGAAGGATCAACAATATACCAAAAGACGATGCAAACTTAAAATCTTTAATGGGTTTCCCATTATTTTCCAATTATTTTCCCATTGTTTTCCCATGATCTTCCTATTATTTGATGAATTCTACATACTTATCATACTTCCTCTCAGGTGGATGGTGAAACTGTTGCAGAAGGTGGTCGTTTCGTGTGGTTCAACTCGGCCTTGCAGAAGGATCGCAGCATCGCTGTGGGTTGCGGTAACCGGGCAGCGGGATCCATTGGGGAACCCAGATTACCGGTGGGATGACCATCCTATTCAATTTTTTCCATAGGATCCATGTATGATATATATGCTAACATTGGGGGTATATTGATGGTAAATGTTACCATATATAGCATACATGGATCCTATGGGTTAGGGTAAATTGTACTTGAAATATCTTGAAATATCTCGAAGTATCTTGAATATGGTAAGATAGATACGGGCTCAAGCCAGATCCAGATGGTGACCGCGAGGTTTGCTCGGCCCTGTGCAGGTTGTGGAGATTGGCCTCAACGACGATAAGATCACCATGTTCATGCAGCTCGTTTGAGTTTTGCTGCATCATATATCATAAATTGGCCGTTCAAACAGCTCCATTGCTGTGGTTATTTCCATTTTTTTTGCTTTTGGTTCTGTGGATTCTCCGCGAGTGAACGCCGACCTCAGAGCTGAACCGATGCAGAGGCCAGCAGATCTCTATCAGAAGTCTCGAAAGTGGGCTGGGGACATTGCCAAAATGGGCAAGAACAACACAAGGCGCGGCAGTGGGAGCCGGAAGATGGCGTGACTCAGGCGTTCCACACCTGCCATGTGAGGGCTACGATGGAGGCCTTGGTCTTCCAGAATGAGACGGGTCACTTGGACCGTTGGGCCATGGCATGCCATGGACAGAAATATGAGACAGTCGTTTTTTTCATGTGGAGAAGCACTGAAACCACTGATGTTATTTGATGTTTGCTTTTCAGGTAAATGTGGTCTTGATCAATGAGTGTTTGAGCTCAGGAGAGTTTGAGTGCACTTTCATCGAGTGCAACCGACGTCCACAGGTGGAGAACGAGTCTTGACTGCATCATTTGCCGAAACATGTTCATGGATACTGTATGGCTGACCAGTAGACGGTTTGATGAAAATATGTGCTGACTTGTAACACACGCCTTCGGAGTTTCCTGACTCGAAACTTATTGTAACTGATAGGTACATGTCCCTGTGCCAGTGTGCAATCACAAATGACGCAACAGATCTAAGACCCCGCATCACAAAGAACATGTTGTCGCATTTTTCCAACATGTTCCAAGAAACATGCTTGACGAAACCATGCAACAAATGAATCGGCAGAATTTTGGATGACCGGCTCTCAGGAAGCCCTTGCCTTGTTGCAGCGCGACGACAAGGGACATCGTCGCTACACCTTTGCTGAGCTCATGATGCGTTACCTGGCGGCCTGGGGACCTTCACGGATCTCAAAGGTCCAAAACGGTGGTATTGTGGGGGTACACTGGGGAAACCATGATATGGGGATGATTACTATAGTCCTGTACATGGAATCTCAAGAATCCAGAAATCTGATTTGGAATTTTGAAATGTTGAATAACAAAACATGGGAGTCCGAGTTAACCATCCAAGAGTATCCAAAAGATCCGAAAGTTGTATTTCAATGGATCTAAACAACAGTAAAAAAAAGGATCCATGACATGGATGCTGAGATGACACAGTGGACCAATGATATACTGTAGATCAGTTGGAATCCAACATGACTCGATGCTCAGGTGCCAAGGGATATCCTGCCCCCCAGTTCGAGCCAGCCACAGACGCCAATGTGGTGTTGCATGCGCGCTGGTTGCATGGCAACCCTGACAGCCATGGAAAGATCACATACCAGGCAGGGTTTATTGAGATGATGTCGTCATGAGATTTGTCCGGAGGTTTTTTTTTGGGGGGTTGCGATATGATTGGATTGATTGAACATATAAAATCAATTAAAGTCATATAAAAATGAATGGAAATGAATGGCATGCCGACGTTGCGGATGGAGGCTGGCAACATCCTGGGAATGAACGGACCCAGGCCGGGGAGTTGCGTCATGTGTCAACTCCGGTTCTTGTTCTTTTTTCGGGTGCCAACTCTGTTTCTGAACTGCTCTGGGTATCTCTGGGTAGCTTTTTGATCTTTTAGCAGTTTCGAACACGATAACTCTGAAGCACCTTAAAGGATTTGCCACTCAACTGTGGATGGATATCAGGGATATCCATGCTATCGCCATATCCCTGGAAAATTGGGCCACAGGGCCATCTAAGCGGTGCCAGGCTGGACTACATCAAGTCCGAGTTGATGGCTCCGGGTGAGATCTCCTTCACCTCCGATCCACAGCTCGGCAAGGTGCAAAACCTGGAAAAAAATAGAGAAGTTGCACCCATTTTTTCTAGCTGTGGAATTATGATGAATTATGGATATTTGAATGGATGTTTAATGTTTATGGATGTTTTATGGTTTTTGAATATGTCTTTCGGTTTTTGAATCCTTTTGAGTTGCCAGATTGATGATGATTTTCACTTCCATCAGCACCAGCAACTGATTCCTTGGGACAGTGCCCCAGTGCCCCTTGTCCAGGCAGTGATCACAGCAGATTCCTGGGAAGAGATGTGCGACAACGCTGCGGAGTACTTCAGGTGGGATCATGGGCAACATAGGAAACAGAGCTTGAAGCTGCTGAATTGGTCCTTGGAAAACCGGAAACCCTTGCGGAGATGGAAAACATTGAAAAACAATGAACTGATGAACTTGCGGTTTCTATGAAAAACCCCGGTTATCATCGGTTGTCACATGTTGTCACCTCCTGTGGAGTCCAGGCTGCGCACACCTGCTGTGATGGGAGTCGCTGAGCTGCAATGATTGGGCAGCCAGTGGGAAGGACAATGAGCTGGGGTCCTGGTCAGTTGCAAAGCATCATTGCTTCATTTTCCAAGAATGTTGACATATGTTGACTTACCCTCTGGTAAACTAACATAACTATGGAAAATCACCATGTTTCATGGGAAAACTCACTATAAATGGCCATTTTCATCCATTTTCAATAGCTATGTTAAATTACCAGAGGGTACATTTGCAACTACCTATGGTTTTCCATGGTTTTCCCATCATGTCAAAACCACCACCCAGGCCTTTTGCACAGCTTGTGTTTGTTGCTCGTGCCGGCTGGGGCGCCATGACCAGCCGTGGTGCAGGCTGCATCCACCTATGCCCAGACCATGTACAACCTCTTCACCAGCCCAAAGTGCCTTGGTGATGCCATAGGAGAACCACAGGATGCGACAAGATGCTACAAGAAAACCGCGAATTTTCAAGGCCGAATTTGTTTTATTGATGGTTCATCTATGTTTATATAGATTAATCATAGATTTCATCAGGTGATCTGTGTTTTTTTTTTTGGTGTTTCATGTTGAATCAAGCAGCATCCCATCATTTCAGTGACATTTGCTGTCGGCATCCCATGGCATCCCACAGGTTCCGTGCAGGGAAAACCGCCTCCAATGAGACCTTCGCTCACATCGATATCCCGGATCATCCGGCACGAAGCGCGGCTCAGCACCTTTGGGAAGTTCCAGAATGGGATGATAGCCCAGAAAATACGCATGGCAAAAGGATGGAAGGGATGATCATGAATATCCAGTTCAAGATTTGGTGCTGAAAACCAGTTCCGCATGTGATTCTTTAAGAGATTATCAACAGTGTCCCCAGTTTTCTGTCTCAGGTGCTGACGGTCTTGAAAGAACAAGTGTCTCCGGTGATCGTGAACGGATACCGCAAGGGTGAGGGCATCGACCCTGATCGCTACCCAACCAAGAGTGGGGGGCCCTAGGTCAGTACCAATCCTTCGAGTATGAGACAACTCTGCAGCCACATTTTTGGGGAGTGCTATTGGTAGATGATTAAAGTAGATGTACCATACATGGATGCGAACAGTTTGTGCATGATTTTTTTGGAGGAATATGGTCATGGTTGAAGACATTTTACAACAACATTTACCTATAGAAATAGATGGAAAGATTGGAAATGGAAGAGGCAGAGCTCACAGTTTCCATCAGTTTCTTCCAGGGTTCAGGGCAATGCAAAACCAGGTGTTTGTGCCGGGCTGGAGGAGCTAACTGACAAGCTGGCAACGTCTCCTGCTCAAGGACCAAAGAAACCTGGAAGTCAGAGCAATGACACAAGTTTGTGTTTCTTATAATCTGTGTTGTTATTCGTTAATTATATGCTATCAATATTTATCAATATTTACAACATGTTATTGTTTCTTTTTTTAATTCATTATTGGTGTTGTTGACCATGACCATTAGAATCGTTTATTTGTTTATCATTCAACGAGGTCTGCGCCTGAAATCACCGCGTTCACTTGCTTCGCACGCGGAGAGGCGCTGGTGAAAATTTATTTTGAGCGGAACCCGGATTCAGGTCATTTTAGTAGCCATCCAATTGTTTAAGATTAACTATACCCAAATTTGACCAGTGTTTTTCCATAGCCAAAATCATCACGAAGTTTCAGCTGAGACCCTTGGAATTGAATAGAATTGACACAATTGGAGTTGCATTAAAAACATATAAAAACATCATATCGGGTTGGTGGTTTGGAACAGTTTGCATTTTGTCATATATTGGGAACAATAATCCCAATTAAAGAACATATAAAACATATAAAACAATCTACCACTGATGATTCATTTGGGTTATGTTTTATATGGAAAACATTACTTGGGATATACATATCCCACATGACTTGGATGATATCATATCCCACGGATTTCCATCCGTGGACGACACCAAAAAGATGGGTTGGTGGCAGGCGACCTATGAGCAGTACGTGGGAGATTTGAAACTTAAGTTGGAAAAGCAGGTGCCGGGTCCGTTGAAGGGAGTGGTAAATTGGTAAATCATTTCTTAAGTTGTTTTTACACACTCCATATCAATTCATATCATGGGTATATCATGGGCAATATATATATATATATATATATATATATATTCTATAATAATCTATATAACATTATATATAACCTCTATAAATCCCAATGAACATGAACTGATGAAGTGACCATCCCCCAATATCAGTTTACAATCCAATTGTGTAACCACGGCTGTGTTGATCCCAGTGGCACGGCACCGCAGGGCGGAGGCTGGGTCACGGTGGCACCACGTGACACCTGCCAGCAGGGCAATGACTCAGAGAGTGCGGCTGTTACTTGGCTCCGCATGGAAAGTGCAGGTAAGAAATCAGCTAAGTATCAGCCAGTGGTTGTGTGCCTTCGGTATTTCAACTTCCTTAACAAATTTAACAATGAACATGACACATCATGACACCTTGGGATTGGCATGGACCACATTGCCACCTTCGCTGCATCTGAGATTTCGAACATCTCCCGCATCAACGCAGAAGTTTGGGCGCAGAAAGCTGGTTGCGCGACTTGGCGCGGAGATATTTGATGTCCAATATGGGATTGATTGGAAACAGGATTTTCACAGGGTATCCCCAAGTCCACTGCAAAAACTCATCAGTTTTTTCTTAAAATACCATGGCTGCGGGGAACACCCATCTGCATCATTCTGCATCTCGGGCCATTTGTTTCGATGGTCGCCACAGATTTTTTCACAGCTCACAGTTCTGCAGGTGGGTTACGAGACGGGCGGAGCCCAGTACCAAGCAGGACGCGCTCATCCTGTGGCTGTGATTTCCCAGCTGTCAACATGTGAAACAGAGTTGTTGATCATAAAATATGTGGAATTCCTATGAAATCCTGAGGAAAATATGTGGAATTCCTTTGAAATCCTACATGAAATCTCCCAGAGGTACCACTTTCTCCCATCAATGGATCTGAAGCTGAAGCGGTCAGGACTCATCCGCGGCTTCGATCCTGCCACCATCTTGCGCTTGGGCACCGGCCTAAGCATCGGAGATGACATGGCTGATGGGATGATGTGGCTTGGAAATAACCGTGGTCTTGAAATTTGAAACCTCCAAGGTCCACAAAAACATACAAAAACTCGACCAATTTGATGATGTTGCTCAATTATTGCTCAATTTCTTTGGCGATTGTGAATCCCATTTTCGAAAAAACCCATGAAAAACCAAGCCATAAGCCAGCCACTCCAGCCATCCCATACCCCATGTGATCCCACCATATCGCTGCCACCATATCGCCACTGAGGTCTGCCATATAACATGCCGGCCCATTCCCTGCAACGTTCGCAGTACGTGAATGGCTTGGCCGAATTGACTCCAGAGATCCGAGCCTCGGGCGAATGGCGCGCGCTGTCTGCGAAATGTGGGATGAGTGAAACGTGTTGTCTATATATTAATAGTCTATATTGATGATTATTAGTGTATATCAATGATTATTAGTGTATATTAATGTATATTTAATGTATATTAATGTATATTGATGTATATTAATGTATATATTAATGTATATTACATTAATATGTTTGTATACTAAGTTAGTATACATGACATTACATGACTAATGTTGATGATAAGAGATGATGTGAGATGGAATGAGATGATGGACATGGTGGGGGATGTTTTTACATTCAGTGTCTACACTACAAAAGATGAGAATGGGATGGTATGTACTTGATTTTAACATATTTTAACCCATGTGCCTAGTAGCCTAATGTGCTTGGACTTCTGGAATCTCAGCTTGTTTAGCGACTAGTGAATCCAGCACAGAAAGACTAAGAACAAAGGTCTTGGAAATGGCTAGCATGATGTTGAGTCTCAACTGACTATTCTTTGAGCTTTGAGACATTTTGAGACTCTGTTCTTGTCGCGTCTGAGATATGCCATCATGGATCTATAGCATCTTGTCTATCATTATCAACCGGATGGTGCAGGGAAGTTCCGATCTCAGGCCGCCCACTCTTCGAGTCCACTGCGGAGATTGTGGCGCAACACTACCGCGGTGCAGGTGGCACCGACAGCCGGGGCACCCAACTGGTGCCGTGCTGGGCTGCCGTGGTGGGGAAGCTGGCAGCCCAGTGGGGTTCCCCACTTGGATGGGCAGGCCTCTTGTATCTAGATGGCACAGTTGTATCTGCTTAGCGCACTTGTAAGTGTAGTTGTTGCAGTTAGCACAAGTTGCCTAAGTGCACTTAGTGAACTTGGGTATGTCGAACTTAGCTCACTTGGAGACGCACTTGTAACTTACTTAGCTAAGTAGGCTAAGTAGGTCGCATGGTGGAAAAAATATATTTGTTCATGGGGCTCCATGGTTAAAAAAAAATCGCGCGGGGCATGTATATACAGAGGATGCCTATAAACAACACACGTTTCTTAGACCTGTGAAACTAGAAAACACTTTCCCAAGGTGTAAAGTGAAAGTACCACGGGGCATGTATATACAGAGGATGCCTATAAACAACACACGTTTCTTAGACCTGTGAAACTAGAAAACACTTTCCCAAGGTGTAAAGTGAAAGTACCACCGGGAAAGAATACACGTTCAAATTTTGTGGGCCACATGAAAACGATACCCCTCACGTGGTTTTGTTTCTTGATGGGCGGTATTTAAAAAGATGTTCCATCTTCCACCCTAAAAAAATGGACGGTTTTGATTTTTGAAAAATAGCCAAAAAGATTGGCATAGTTGAAAAACCATTCCAACCACATGTGGGCTCATGACAACCCATTCTGATATGGTTACATAAAAGGTGTAAATATAACTAACTAAGGCATCCCAGGGATGGAATATCTCACTGACATGTATATAGAGGAATCCAACGAAAAGATTATTCCCAATATTCTAAGAATTTCCCATCTCAATCTACTTGGTGTTGCCCTAAAACTTAGGTGTAAACCGCCCATAAAAACCAACTGATATTGCCCCACAAGGTATACAGCCACCAAATCTTTTATACTGTATTTCTAAAAACCACCAAAGCCCAAAGCATATTTGTATATATAATTGAATATATAATTTTATAATTATGTATATATATATAATTAAATCAGAAAATTATATTTATATATATAATCAAATAAATATACAATCATATAAATATATAATCATATAAATATAATTATATATATACCCACCGTCACCCGGCGGCAACAGCTGCCCTGCGTGTGGCAGCCGCGGCAGCCTGCATTGCAGGCAGCATAGGGCTTTGTGGCCCCTGATTTGGGGTTGGGGATTAACCTATTATAATGGTGCCAAGATGGCATAGGTAATATTTACCACATATTTCTAAACCAGAGAAAAGGAAACCTGTTTCCTGGAAAGTAATTTTGTTTTTTTGATTCACCAATCAGCCAGAGCCTGCCTTGACAACAATCATCAGATACTAAGATACTATCAACATTTTTTTTCCAAGTTGTGTTGGTGACATAGTTTCACAGTTGCTTGCGCCTGCATCCTTTCCAATTTGCGACAGCATGTGGCTGGTTTGGGCTGTTCCCGTGTTTGCATTCAGACGCGTTGAAACAGCTTCCAATTTATTCATCAGGGCAAGGGATAGATTTGAATTCATCATTGGATAACCCAAAAATGACTTAGAATCAAGATCCGAAGGGTGGCCGGACCAGCTGCAACTGATGGAATATAATAGATGCTGAGCGTTTCCATGGGCTCCAAAAAACTTGATAGCATTCACTCAGCAAAATTGACCTATCGTTGAACAACAATACGCGTTTGGTCCATATACGATTCTATTATCGTTTAACAATAGGTTTGCCATTCTGGGGTATTTCTATTGTTGTTCAACAATAGGGCGGGAGATGGGGCTACCAACCTATTATCGTTCAACAATAGGGTACCTTTGGTGGCTCAATCCTATTATCGTTCAACAATAGGGTACCTTTGGTAGCTCAATCCTATTATCGTTCAACAATAGGCCATATATTTCAGAAAAGCTTGTTGTGGATTCACGGGGGTTCCAAGTTTACCTCATTACACTGTAAGCTATTGATTATAGATACACTTTCCAACTAAAAATATTGCACGCAAAGGGCCCTACATGGAAAACTTTTCCCGGTGGCTGAGCGATGCGGTGCTTGCTGCACAGACTAAGCAGCACCGTGACACTTCGTGAGGTGTCAAAACATCATAGCTGAAAGCAATCTGGGGTGGTTTGTGCCGACCTATGTAACCCCCAAAAATGGGCTAAATGTAGCAACCCTTGTTGGTATGGAAACAGCTGAATGGGAATCGAAATGCGTTCAATGGTTGTTAGGCGTAGTTAATTTCACTAGGCCTTGCAATCCCACTATTTACCCATGTTTCATAGTTAGTAAGCTAGCTCGTGCAGGGTTTCTTCCATTCACAATATATTACAGGGGGAACCCTTCTGATTGTTATCAGCACCCCAACAAAAAGCAAACAGTTCATGCCATCAAATCAATAGTTTAATACATTAATATATCAGACAATTTAACGTGATTTGCCAATGGGTCCGTGTAAATATGTCAAACTGCACCAAAATATGTTCTTTAATTGTTAATTATTGTTTTCTGAAAAATTATATATATATGGACATGTTTGAACATGGGCCTGGTATATGCCCTCCAAACTGTTATTTGAGAAACCAAGGAATAATCCATTGACATTGGAAATGCCATTTTCAGACACATCCATATATATATATATGTAACTCTTCAAAACCCTGCCACCACAATCGGGCAGTTCATATTGCCTGCATTTGCAGGCAGCCGCGGCGCCAATGCAGGTCCAGCCGTGCCGGGGCGTGACGTTGGCCCCGGTGATATATATATATATATATATGTGTGTGTGTACATATGCATATAGTATACATCCTTGTAGATGTATGTATGTCTGAGTGCGTATAAAGACACGTGTAAATGTGTAATTTATATGTGAATCTGAATATTTATATATATACATATATATATATGTGTGTATCTATCCAAGGCCGTGGTGTACGCATGCAATGATATTTCTGGTTTTTAGATCTTTTTTTGGGACAAACAATTTAAATCTTTTTGTTGGACCACCAAAGGGGGAACTGAGAAACATATTAATCACATCATATCATATCAAAATGAGTCTCTTGATTTCAGCTACAGCTACCCATGATGGGGCCAAAAAACCACCAGGCCCAAACATATCCAAACCCGTTTATACCTTTGAAAAAAACATGTTGGATGTACGTATTCGTGTTTGGTGGGTGGATGGATTGACATATGCCAAGCCCAAATGAAGGAAAACAACAATACAACCACACTTTACTAGGGGGATTGCAGAGACAAACATTATAGTATAACACATATCTTTTCGTATCTTGTTCCCCTGCAGTATCTATATATATATATATAAATATATACATATATTGTTAGTTGGCCTGCTACTTATATCTCTACTTAGCCTACTTAGCAAAGCAGGCCAACTAACATACAGCACTTATTGATAAGTAGTCTAAGTTCCACAAGACCTACTTGTGGAACTTACGTTTATCACCCTTAAGTAGGGCGTATGTTGGCGAACATACTTGCACAAAATATAAGTTGAAGGCTCCTACATAGAAGTTCACCAAGTAACGCTGGCAACTTATAAGTTCGCCAACATGATGTTAGCGAAGATACAACTGCTGTTACACTACTTGCAAGTTATGTTATAAGTTGTGCAAGTCGGCCATCTAGATACAAGAGGCCTGCCCATCCAAGCACTGAGGCTGGGTCCCTTGGCAGCCCTACAACTTCCATGCCGGCAATTTCTATTGCGAGAAGACCGGCTATTCTCCACAGGTGGGGACGGGGATGGGGATATGGTTGGATTTTTCTATGATGTTCCACAAGTGACTTTTCGTTTGTTGCTTATTTGGTACCGCACTTCTATACTCTATAAATCTCTATAACGGATGAAAACCTGGAGCCGTGAACAGGACGACACCACCTTGGAGTTGTTGGATGCCAAGTGCTTGCAGATGCCTCAGTGCAGATGCCTCATGTGCACGGACGAGCGAGTAATAGCGAGTAGCTCCCCTCTGGTACTATTGAGCGTTTGATGCTTATTTGATCAGGGCACTGGGTCACTAAACTATCAGATTTTATTATTTTCACGGACATTGCTTGAACCCATTCTCGTAATCCCTACCAGTAGAACCAACCACAACAGCTGGTGTTTGGAAAACTGGTGGCAAGGCCAATGCCCAACTGGGTTTTCTCTCCGAAGTTTCCTTTGGAGGCTGCCTGGCACAAGTTTGGAGGTTGATGATCTTCGATGGCTGTGATTGCTATCTCTTTGAAGGGTTTGTTTAGCCATCTGACTAATCTGCTGATGGTTCAGGGAATCTCCTGCGGCTACTTGAAAACTCCCAAATACAACTTGATGCTACAATGCTTTAAAATTGGAATTATCCCTGCATTCCCTGCAATATCTTCGACTTGAGCACAGTGGTTCAGGCGTTGAAGAAATGGACCGAGCGCCAAATCGACATCTTTGAAAAGAAGGGCCTCGCTTTGCAGCAGCTTCGTATCAAGAACCCGGGCCAGGTGCAGCGATGACTCCAATGACCTGGCGGATGAAGATTTGATGCAGCAACTGCAGGTGATTCTTGTTTTTAATGATGTTTAATGTCTGACATTGATTCAACATTGATACTCCTACTGCTTAATATATTACCATAATATCCATAATATGGTTCAACAGCTCGAGCCAAGTGGCACATAGTGGCACACTGAAATCCAACTTGGCAGGGAGTGGATTGGACCGCAGACACCTTGTGGGCTCACGTGGACACCATCATCCAGTGCTTCAGAGCCAGAGGCCTTCCTCCTCCAATTGTCTACATCCACAACCATGTGCCTTGCCAATGACCCTAAAAGCATCCACTGATGTATGCAAAATTGTGGTAAACCTTGGTAAATCCATGTACTGTAAATCCAATGATATACCTTCATGTAGGGATGGTGTACACTGCATAACTACTTCTGGGAAGAGTTGTGATGGTTTGTTGTTGGGTTTGCCAGATGAATGAGCCATTCAATGTGCCATGCGCATGGAGCACCAATTTGAAGGTATATGATCACATCCATCCAACCTATGCGTTTCCAGGAAAAGACAGTGTGAGTGTGTCACTGTATGCTATTGAAATATATTGAATTCATTCGAAACCTCTAAGAAGTGGGATATGCTTTTTCCTGCCTCCCTATTCACTGAAGCTTATTGAAAAGGACCTAGATTTCACCCCTTTTTTCATTTGTGCTTCGCATTCCCAGGACTTCAACGGCATGGCACCACATACCGGTGCTGAGTTGTTCCGCAAGGCTCACCAGGTCGCGACCGGATGCAACGGACGGACGGACGATGCTGTGAGATGATCTTTTCTTGGAAAGCGTGGCATTTTGAAACGTGGAGTTTTTCATACTTTTCAACTCAGAAGCCCTGCTGAATATCAAAATTTGGCTGATTATAATGAATATCCTGGTGATTTCAAATATCCTGGTGAAAAGTATATATCCTGGTGATTTCAAAATTTGGCTGATGTTGAATGATGTTGAATGTGCAGAAGCTTAATCCATGGACAAGGCCAACTTCCACACCCTGGTCATTGATGCTGCTCCTCGCAAGAATGGCACGCACAATGACAACACGGTGCAGCACTTGGAATGGGAACGAACTGTCAATGATGTCCAGTTTTGCAAAGTTTACGAAGGCTGTTTTTCATTGTTTTTCGTTTCAATGAGGCTCTTATTTTATCTTATTTTATTGATTATATTTATATTTATATATTCCATTTTGGAAGATCTTATCAGACATCATCAGATTTTGGAAGATCTCACCAGACATCACCATCTTATCACCAGACCCAGCTGATGTTTTTGCTGGGGACCGGCTGGACCCGAGCTCGCCAGGTGCTGCTGTCGGCCTTGAATTTGGACGCATCTCAGAAGGAGGCCCTGGCGGAGTACAACCACAACCAGCAGATGATCGAGACACTTGCCAGCAAATTTCACCAGAAAACCCTTCAAGATGCTCCAACATACCCCAAAAATATTGGAAAATGGATGTTAAATATGTTAAATATTGTTAAATATACATAGATAGACTAAGCTTTTGGGATGAGATTGGATAAGCCAGCATTTTGGTGGATACTTGGAGGGCCTAGGTCATGGTGGAATGGATGATCCATGTTGATGACCGATGATAGTTGATGATCTATCAGGTGATCTGATACAAGGAGCTGATAGACCGGGATGATGTTGTTGATGACGCTAGTGATGGTGGTGGCTGATGATATTTGCATATATTTGCTGTATGGTTGTGAGATGGGACCCCTGGGAATGTTGCGATAGAGAGGGTGCAGCGGCTGTCGATGCCAACGGCTTTGCTCAGGAATTTGATTTGCCGCTTCGACAGCCGCCCCTGGTCCTGAAGATTTGCTCTAAATTTGAGCTGCCGAAGAAAGTTATTGGGTTCCCGCCACAAAATGGGATGTTCTCCCAATATTGTGGCAGAATGGGAAGCAGGCTTGAAAAACATAGCTTAGTCAAGAGGGATGTTGTTGATTTCCCGCCTTCGAATGAGGTTTTGCTATAGTTACATAGTCGAGAAAGTAGAAGCTCCGCAAAATTGGCTGAATGATTTGTCCAGCATTCATTCGAACCGACTTTGCATCTCCAATCCTCGTTCAATCATTATCCAAGCATCACCTCTTGTCGCCTCAAATTACCTGGTTTTTATGGCTCAAATCCGCATCCCAAAATGGCTTCAATGCTTTAAAAAAGCAACATGTCCAAGTTCTTTGGCCAGGATTTCCCCAGGTTTTGTATGGCCATCCGAGGCACTTCGCAGATGACACCCTGGGACTCTGATTGGGCTGGTGGCACTGAAGGTGCGGATTTCCGGTTGCTGGCAGCGGGAATGGAGGTTTCTTGAATGATGGGTATCCAAAATTGGATGGTTTGATATCTAAAATAGTCTGATATGTAGTTGAATGTTTAAAAAAATGTTTAACACCCCCAAAAATTGAGAATACTTAAAACGGTGATACATCCATTTTAAGAAATACCAATATGAGACAACGGAAACACAACCACCAATCAGGATTAAATTGATTAAAGGAACAAATCATAGAAGTTTCTGCGAGAAACATCGAGAGACCGAAATCAATCAGATGGCATTTGATGATGAACATATCCTGGTGGTGATCATCAATTTCGACCGTGAGCATGGCAAGGATAGAGTGACCCATGGTTTCACACAGGCTCTGATATCCGCATTGCCAAAGAGTACTCCTTGGATGTGCGCAAGATCAACGACGCCAAGGACACTTCTTGGTGTCCTTGGTTTCCACTGGCATAAACAATGGCATCAGTTCGTAGTCACATGATTATATGATAGATTATATCCTAAGGATCCTAAGGATCGTGGTATGTAGTGTATGAACTCTAGACATTTTGTGAAATTCTCACCAGGCATTTCTATGGATCGATATTTTGATGGGAGGAGATCGCCAATGAAGTCTTCCCCCTGGAGCGTGCGGTCACGCCGTTCTCGGAGTACAAGCTGCGTTTGGGCATTGTCGCTTGGTCATCTTGGTCGTTCTCCTGGATTTCTCATGGGATGAAGGCAAAATGTCCAGGAAAACATATAGGAAAACTATATAAAACTATTTATTTCTTGGCTGAAACCAGGGAAACCATGGGAAACCATGGGAAACCATGGAAAACCTGTAGATGTTCCCCCTAAGGCTCCGCTGTTTGGGTGGGTCCTTCATGGGCATTTTGTCAACATCCAGGCTGAATGATGGATCTTCATTCTGCCAGATTTCACTTCTTTGAACGCCCAAGTCCGCAGTTCAATTGAATGAGTACAAGATACATCAAGATACAATGGCCACAGTGATAGAGGATCAGATATAGATATGCCATGTGGTTCGAAAAGGATTTTGAGTACTAAGTATCACCATGAGTATCCATGAGTTGTGATGTGTTGTCTCAAATAATGGCTGATGATTGACAGGGCCTACAGTTTTATGGCTGATTTCTGCCCTGAGGCCATCATGATCGAGCCCGGAATTGAGCCCAAGTCTGCTGACTCGGTGACTCACCTGAAACTCATGGCCTGCGTGTAGCTGGGTGAAGCCACCAACGACCGGAAATAGATGATAGGTTGGGATGAGAAGAGCTAACTGCCCAATGTTGGGGTTGCTCTTTTTTTTGAAACCATCCAATTTCAGGTCAACTCTGTTCGGACACATTCTTTATAGATTTGAAGTTAACAAGACATTAATCTCCAAGATCACCATCCGTTTGCATCAAACTATCATCCAATCCTCATTCTAATCATCATCCAACCATCAACCATCACAACTATTCTCTATTTTAAAGTACGTAAGTATTCTTAATATTTCTTAATCCCTTCCACCATATTCCACCATATCTCACCATATCCCACCTCCTGTCCCGCACTCTGCCCGAAGCTCAGCAGGTGCGCAAGTGGGTGAACGGTGGCGGCAAGCTGAAGGTGGGCGGCGACGTCTTGGTCGGGCTCAGCCGATGGGAGACCTTGGTACCCAAGACGAAGGAGGTGGATCAACTGCTGAAGAACATGCCGGAGGAACTGTTGACCCATCTGCTGGGGATGATGGATGGACTCTTAAGCAGGTTGGATGGTTCATGTGAAATTTCCATCCCCATATCAAACACCCTGGTTTCTGGGAGGTGTTTAATATTGCGCGGCAGAAGGACATCTATGAATGACCCAGATGAACAAGTGAGTGATATCCTACCTTTCATACTGGGTGAAACAACGTGGTTGTTCTACTTGGAGAGTTGGAGAGATGGCACCTCTTGTTCAAGTTGGCTTGACCCTATCCCCATTACCAAAATTGTTCGGGTCAACATCAACAAATAAGAAAACCAATCAGACCTTAAATCCCCATTCCAAGTTCCCGGCCAGTTTCATCCAACCCAATCAGATCCGCATCAGACACCCATCAGATCCATGTCCCAGCAACTTCCTCCAAGCCATTCGCATTCCCATTCCCATTCCCATCAAAATATCTCAAGCTCACTTCCCAGGAGTAAATCCATGGTACTGGCAATCAGATAGTAATCCCGTAATCACCAGATTCCCATGGAACTTCGAAGTGTTTCCCATTTTTTCCCGTGCCATTTCCCACTTGGTTTTCTGAGTCTGTTGGAAAAAACACCCTTTGTATAGATGAGATACCAACTATATACTCCAGAAACCCAACAGTTACACCAACTATACCCCACCACCCAACACTTAACCCATTCCTAAACCGTCCCAAGCTGTAGGAGCTGGAAGCCGCCCTGGCGCAGAAGGCCAAACTCATCGGCCCCGGCGACCTCCCGGCCACGCTGTCGCCGGCGCAGCGACATACGGCGCTGGGCTTCCAGGCCAAGGGCCTGGAGTTCACCAAGGCGCAGGCCAGGATGGGGAAAAAGATGGCAAGAGATTTGATCATGATTTTTCAGGGATTGGTAAATGTCCCATTTTGGGGCTATTGGACATCACCTTTGAATGGCAATTGTAGATGAGATACCTCATGGTTGGGTGATGTTCAGTGGTGACATTTAATGACCCATGATTTTTGATGATGGGTTTAATGATTGTTTCATGATTTTACATTATGTTAAATAGTAATGATGTTTGATGATTGTTAATGTGGTTTGTTGATGTTTAATGGATTGTGATGGTTGGATGCTGGTTGGATGATGGGATGTGATGGATGTATATAAAGAGTTACCATAAAAACCTGGAGAAGCTTTGAGTGTTTGATGATGGGTGTTACTGAATATAAGCTGGGAAAGATTGAGATCAAAAGGATTGATGTTAATGGAATTGTCAAACTGTTAGGACATATGACTTACGATTGATTGCAAAAAGATTGGCACAATCAGGTCACCAACTCTAATTTATAGGCTTTGGACACCAATTTGTGTGGGGAGCTTGAGGGCAAGGAATGCCTAAAGATATTCAAACTGCCCCCAAAGCTGATGATTGCCTGTTGGCTGACCTGATTGTATTCAAGGGAGCATGGGTGCTCAACCGCAAAGCCAAAGCAACTGGGGGTTGCGTATCAAATAAGGCCAGGGAGACTTTGAATCCCAGCCCCAATGAGTTCCCCAAGTATCTGCCCAACAAAAAGATAGGTCTGATAGATGTCTCATGAAGGATAGTATTTTTATTGTCATTGGTTTTCTCTCATTTCTCGTTGTTTGTCGTGCACTCACTATTCAGCATTTTCAATCAAAGGAACGCTCCACCCATCTGATCGCTACTCGCTAGGCCAAGGGTACGGATCTGTCGCCTCTGCTCATTGCACCTGAAGTGCTGCACAGCAGACCAAAGTCCCTGCGGGCGGGAACCAAGTTCCAAATCCTCATGGACAAGTTGGATGGCTCTTTGCCCAAGAAGGAGAACAGAACCATGGGAATGCGGAAAACCTAATAACTGCAATAAAACATCCACTATGTTTTTACCAGAATTGACTAGTATTCTATCATTGCACAGAATACACTGTAAACCAGCCACACTTAAAAAATACTTGGCATATAAATCACATTTATCAACACTCGCCTTTTTCCCAATTGTCATGGTGTAAACGTGGTAATCGTTACCTGGGTTCATGGGCTCTTCAGCCCGTAGGAAGAGATCAAGTTCCTGGGCTTCGGCTTGGCACCTGGAGCTGCCAGTGGGCCTGACAGCCTCGGACGGGAGTTGGTGCTCAGTGCCTTGGTGCACCGGACGGGAGTGATCGACTGATCCCTCAGGTCTTCCAGGTCTTCCAGGAACTCCCATGGCCTCAAACATGGCCTTTTTGATCATCCAAAGATATCCAAAATTCATCCAAAATTCATCCAAAATTCATCCAAATTATCAAATTCCAGATTTTGCTTGGCCTTTTAATGCCAATGCAGATGCGGCGCCACCAAGGTTTCCTGCATGAAGGACAGAAGGTTGAGGCCAGGTGTTGATGTCCACCTTGAGTGTTTTCATGTGGGCGTTTCTTGAGTCATGTGGGATCCCCAAGTCACCATGGGTTTCAATATTAACATGGTCCAATTTTGGATGATTTCGGGGTACCCAGCATTCTAGGAAACCTCCATGTGGATGTTTAACTTTGGGGAAACTGCTTTAGGGCTCCCCAAAGGTTTGGGACCTTGTTGCCTCACAATTTTGCCAAGCATTGGACCAATGAATCTGAACATTGTAGAGTTGTACCTCGACCCTGACCCAAAGAAATTGGTGAAACATACTCAATAGATATAGTTATGATGGGTAAATGGCCAAGTTTCATAGGTCAATTAAGGATCTTTACCACATTTGAACTGTAATTTTCATGGACATCTCCATCACTGCTATGTGCTCTGGCGCAGGTGCAACTGCCAGACCCAGATGCGGCTGCCAGCGCGGCAGCCGGGGCAAAGGGCCTTCGAAAAGCAACACCTGGCAACAAGATGGAAGTGCCTAGCCACAAGGAGGGGAAATTCACTGGTGAACGAGGTCAAAACTGGAGCTTAGTGGAGTTTTGAAACCATAATTGGGATATAATTGATGAGTATGGAGTTTTAAAAAAGAATAATTGATGATAACAACTATATCAATGATCTTTAAAATCAACCATGATGAAAATGGTCGTTCAACCATGATGGGACAATTGGTGAGTGATGGAACGAAGGAAGGACTTGGCTGACTGGTACCTGAAAGTGAAGGATTTGCACCCCAAGTTGTGGCAATTTCTATGGGGAACATGAGGTTCTTAACGATCAATTTTGGGATGTATTGGGATGTCCGATTTTCAGACAGTACTTGTATTTGTCACTCAGAATTCTGAGTAAACTGGGATAATTGTGGGATACCCCAATGTATGGCAGGGTAATAGCTGGAAAATGAGGATTCATCATGATTCATCATGATTTTTTGGGGGACCAAATCTGAGAGACACCCAAAAACATCAAAATCTGTCGAAGATGATTGGCCCACTGGTGGTCTCAGGTTCCCACCGTTGTTCCCGGAGAAATGCTCTCCTATGCTGTGAAGGCTGGGTCCTATTTTTCAATCGTTTTTACCTATGATGATCCTGAGTCAGAAATGCAGGTGTGGAAGGGTGATATACTGTATAGTATTATATATATATATTATTACCCATAGGATCCATGTATGGTATATATGCTAACATTGGGGGTATATTGATGGTAAATGTTACCATATAATATATATATATATACCATACATGGATCCTATGGGTTATATTGTAAGATTGTAAGATTATCCCCCCAAGATGTCAAGGAATTTGTTTACCTTGCTATGTATGCAGAGACATTGTGTTCTTCAGGGCCTTGGAGAGAAATGGCCTGAGTTGGGAATGTCCCACTTAGTCTGATACTTGTCTATATTCTATGGCGACAACAGGAAGTTTGCCAATAAATCACATGCCAAATTCATCCAAATTCATTTTTGGTTTACTACATGGTTGGGTCATAGTTGGGTCATTGATTTTGCGCCTACCAAGTTGCCCTCTTCCGTGCAGGTGGGCGACAAATTGACCAAGGGCCAGATTTTGTGCGTGTTGGAGTCAATGAAGATGGACGGGGCCTTAGAAACTCAGGGCGTTTTGTCAAGACACGGCGATTGCAGATGCTGCATGATTGGTTTGAACACATTAATAGTGTAAATAGTGATGAAATATTGATAAATCATGATCCCTCCATAGTTTTCCCATAGCTGTTTTCCATGTTTTTTCCATGTTGGGTGGCATGGCTCGACCCATGGGCGCAAGGAGATGAAGATCCCGGTGCCGGATGAGTTGGACGGCTTGGTGGTCAAGGTGGGGTGTCCTTGGGACATGGGCTACCAATGGGACTACAAAAGGGGTGATTGGTTTTTGGTGTCTGGATGTGTTTTGGATGTTTCATGGATTTGTTCATGTGTTTTTTTTTAATGGATTATTATAATTTGTTAACCATTTTTTCAAGCTCCCAAACTATAGAGGTCAACCACGTTCGATACACTTTCTGTATTTCTGCCATCCCCAGCTGCGGCAGGCGCTTCCTTGCCAGGGACGAACCAAGGAGGCGCAGGGCGACATCTTGGCACCCGGAGATCTCATGGTGGAGCTCCAGGTGGGGACGATGCGGTGATGCGGTGATGCGATGGTTGCCCTAGATACCAATGGGACGATGCGATGGTGAATTTCCATGGGAAAAATGGGTTAAAGATTAGATGATGATATGGTGATGATCTTAACAGGAAACCCAGTAACTGACTGGATATGATAGGTGTAACTGGTGTTTTCCTCAGGCAACTTAAATGATTCTGAATGGAAAATTCATATCGGAGTGGAAGGGAAGAACCACGGAAGCGTTATCCACTTTGGTGGCAGCCGTTCCATAGATGTTTGGATGATGGTGGAGGGTCACTGAGGGAAGAAGTTGCCACATTGGAGGCTTCAGTCCTACAACAGAAATGTGATAACCAATGCAGTATACATCAAGCCATTGTCATCACCGCCCAATGTTTTTGTTCATTCACGTGATCTCAACTTGCACTCTGTCTTCTGCCGACAGGAGAAATAGATGCTAAACAACGGTCGAAAGAAAGTGAGCGCACGCATCAATGCGTGCCGGACGGTGTGTAATGTGCACATACTATCACACTTATTTTGTCTCCTAGGGCGGATGCTGAGTGGAACTCATAGAGGCATCAGGCATCCTAAAATTTCTGAAAACTTTGGTCAGATGCGTTTCTGAATTCTTTGTGCCACCTTTTGGCTCAGCCGCGGGGAAAAAACATGACCCCGCTTGTCAGATGAGTCCAAAAGTAGACGTGTGACTGCTTTGCCTGGAGGGTTGGAATTGGACTTAGACATTTGCCTCTACAAAATTGTATTCAGTTATGAAATGAAAAGTACTTCATGTAAGAACTAGACAGGGGGTTATAGATCATAATCTCTTCCTCTTGTGATTCGATTTAGCACAAGGATAAAGCAACAGTTATACTGATTGTCATGAGACGGGTTCAATTCCGGCAGGCCGCGTTTCTGCGTTTGATTCAGATTGTTTTTTCTCCCCTTCCTGAGCAGGACGGTTTGAACAACAGGGCGAAAGTCATGAAAAAAGAAGCAGAGGGTGCTGCCAAAAGGCTGCATGCAGGTCACCATTTGTTGCGAATGCAAGGAATTGTTGGGAAACGTCCAAATTACGTCCAAACACTGTACTTTAATAAGAATACATAATAATACGTACATTTGAATAGCAGGGAATGCTAAGGTGAGGATCCTGTAAATCTTTGTTATTCAGGAGCCTGGCTTTACCATTTTACGGAATCACTTTCCCAGCAAAGGCACAGAGACATTCCTATCAATGTTCGTGCAATGTATGAAGAATTGCTTATAATATCTTATAATATGATTCTCCTTCGGACTCTCTAGAAAGAAACAAACCCCCAAAAAAAGTAGTGCAAGGAACGCACATCCGTGGCCAAGGTCAATCCTTGAAGACAGCAGCATGATTTGGGTGACCAAATCACTGAGCAAATGAAGCTGGTGATAGTGAAGCAATGTGAAGCATGTTGGGCTTCCAAAGACGGTCTGAAATGGCCTGAAACTGCCAGACTGCACCAAGAGCTCCCAGTGCTGGGTGCAAAAAGCAATGGAAGCCATGTCACTGGGCACCCATGCAGCATCTCGAGCTTCAGGGTCCTGCTGTGTCTTGCTGATGTCAGCTTTCAGCCTCCAGGATAGGCCATGTCAGGTACGGGGTGAATTGACTGAGCAAAGATGTTCATGAACGTTCGTTGCGCATCAGCATGAATACAGTGATTTAAACCAAACAGACCAAAAGTAACATGGTATTCGAAGTCCAACCCTTGCACCCTATTTGGTTAGATGTCAAAATTATCAACTCCCTATGACTGTGAATGGCAAAATACATCAAAATACTAAGACTCGCCATTTGCGTGGGTCCATTGGTATCCAAATGTGCGCCCCCAATGTCGCCATATTTCCACCGTGCAACCGCAACCGCCACAACGTTTGGCTCCGAAAGCTGGCCTGCCACTTGGTCATCACCACTCACCACATGTCGCCGGGCAACGGCACCATGGACGCGCGGAGGCCGCGTCCCGTGGCTGTGTAAAACGCCAACTTCAGGGGCCTTTTGACGAAGCAACGATGGATTTTTTTCCAATAGCAAATGATACCAAACATGGATTTCAGCAACGAAAAATGGGATTTAAGCGGCAAAATTGTTCAGAGAGATGGAGTTCTTTTCAACATCACCGGGCTTTATCAAAGATATGATAAGACATTCATGGATAATTGTTGATGATATTATCAGATTTATCAGTTTGTTTAAACACTATTTAATTAATTAATTGTCCGAGAGATTACCAACCAGGCAGATGAGGCGAAGCTTCAGGCACAAGCTAGCTTGAAGATTCACTGGATGGCGGTTGGGCTGGTGGTTTCGAAGATGTTTGATCTTCCATCCCGGAACTAATGTAATTGCTGTCTTCAAAAGGAATACATAACATAGACCCGGGCAAGCCGGCGGCGGAAGTTTCCCAAGAATAAATGACCTATAGTTCAAGGCCAGCCTGTCCCGAGCGTGTCCTTCCCTCGACAAGCGTTTTTTTTTTTCAGCGAGAGACGAAGCAAAGTCTTCACACTCCACACTTCACACTTCACTCTTCGCACTCCAAACTTCACACTCCACAGTCCACACTTCTCACTTCTCACTGCTTCCTTCACACTCCAAACTTCACACTCCACACTTCACACTTCGCACTTCACAGTCCACACTTCTCACTTCTCACTGCTTCCTTCACGCTCCAAACTTCACACTTCACACTTCTCACTTCGCACTTCACACTCCACACTTCACACTCCACACTTCACACTCCAAACCTCACACTTCACACTTCTCACTTTGCACTTCACACTCCACACTTCACACTTCACACTTCTCACTTCGCACTTCACACTCCACATTTCACACTTCACACTTCACAGTCCACACTTCACACTTCTCACTGCTCACTGCTTCCTTCACACTCCAAACTTCACACTTCACACTCACTTCGCACTTCACATTCCACATTTCACACTTCACACTTCACAGTCCACACTTCACACTTCTTACTGCTCACTGCTTCCTTCACACTCCAAACTTCACACTTCACACTCCACACTCCACACTTCACACTGCACTCTTTGCACTCCAAACTTCACACTCCACACTTCACAGTCCACACTTCACTTTCTAGTCATTTATTCTTGGGACACTAATGCCGTCACTTCTACTTCCCACTGTCATTACCTAAAAAGGGGCCAGTCCAAACAGTTACAATACTCATTGTCACTACAGTTACAGCCACAACGGTCATTGTCAAAGTAGTCTTTGTCATAGTATCTATGGTCACAGTAGTCATGATCAGAATAGTCACAGTCACAGTCACATCAGGTATGGTCACACTAATCAAAGTCACGGTGGTCATTTTATGGAGGTTATCAACATACAACCGCACGAACGATGGAATTACTTCACACTCCACACTTCACACTTGTCACTTCTCACTGCTTCCTTCACACTCCAAACTTAAACTTCACACTCCACACTTCTCACTTCCCACTGCTTCCTTCACACTGCACACTTCACACTGCACTCTTCACGCCCCACACTTCACTGCTCTAAACCTACGTGCAACGGCGTCGGAAAATTGTAGCTCCAAAACCGGATCTCGACGCCAGAGCGAAAAAAAGACGATTTTGAAGCACTTTTTAAAAGGATTTTTAAAAGGAAAATTACTAGCGCCAAAATGGAGGAAATCTGCTGACAAATCACTGTCGCAGCCTTCATGCAGCCACTCCAATACGATTTACGAAGTCCAGCTGCAAAAGACAATAGTATTACGCATGCAGCCTCAGCATGAAGCAACCTTGACGCAGCTATTACAATGCGATCTGCGGAGACTGAGTTGCAAAACACAATAGAACTACGCGCAACTGGGTCGGAAATTGCAGGTCCAAAACCGGATCTCGACGCCAGAGCGAAAAAAAGACGATTTTGAAGCACTTTTTAAAAGGATTTTTAGAAGGAAAATCACTAGCGCCAAAATGGAGAAAATCTGCTGACAAATCACTGTCGCAGCCTTCATGCAGCCACTCCAATACGATTTACGAAGTCCAGCTGCAAAAAACAATAGTATTACGCATGCAGCCGCGGCACCAAGCAACCTTGACGCAGCCATTACAATGCGATCTGCAAAGACTGAGTTGCAAAACACAATAGAACTACGCGCAACTGGGTCGGAAATTGCAGCTCCAAAACCGGATCTCGACGCCAAAGCGAAAAAAAGACGATTTTGAAGCACTTTTTAAAAGGATTTTTAAAAGAAAATTATTAGCGCCAAAATGGAGAAAATCTGCTGACAAATCACTGTCGCAGCCTTCATGCAGCCACTCCAATACGATTTACGAAGTCCAGCTGCAAAAGACAATAGTATTACGCATGCAGCCGTGGCAAGAAGCAACCTTGACGCAGCCATTTACACTGCGGGAACGATCCTACAGTTGCAAAGCACAATGGAATTCCATCGGCAACTCATCCACCAGCACCACTTGCAATCCCATTTACATTGCGGGAACGATCCTAGAGTTGCAAATCACAATGAAATTCCATCGGCAACTCATCCACCAGCACCACTTGCAATCCCATTTACATGCGGGAACGATCCTACAGTTGCAAAGCACAATGGAATTCCATCGGCAACTCCTCCACCAGCACCACTTGCAATCCCATTTGCATTGCGGGAACGATCCTACAGTTGCAAATCACAATGGAATTCCATCTGCAACTCATCCACCAGCACCACTTGCAATCCCATTTACATTGCGGGAACGATCCTACAGTTGCAAAGCACAATGGAATTCCATCGGCAACTCATCCACCAGCACCACTTGCAATCCCATTTACATTGCGGGAACGATCCTAGAGTTGCAAATCACAATGACCATCGGCAACTCATCCTAAAGTGAGGGAACGATCCTAGAGTTGCAAATCACAATGGAATTCCATCGGCAACTCCTCCACCAGCACCACTTGCAATCCCATTTACATTGCGGGAACGATCCTACAGTTGCAAATCACAATGGAATTCTGTCGACCACACATGCACGAAACACAGCTGAAACCCCATTTACAATGCGGAACCGATCCGAACATGATCCGAGATCCGAACCGATCCGATGATCCGACCACACACGAGACCGTCTCGCACCCGTCGCACCGCAGAGGTAGATCATCGAGGTTCGGGGACGACTTTGTATGGAAAAACATAGGCTTTCGTGCATCTGCTATCTCTCAAAAACGCATTTCGTGCGAGACTTCCTTCAAAACTCCATCGGCAACTCCTCCACCAGCACCACTTGCAATCCCATTTACAGTGAGGGAACGATCCTAAAGTTGCAAATCACAATGCAATTCCATCAGCAACTCGTCCACCAGCACCACTTGCAACCCCATTTACAATGCGGGAACGATCCGACAGTTGCAAATCACAATGGAATTCTGTCGACCACACATGCACGAAAAACAGTTGACACCCCATTTACAATGCGGAACCGATCCGAGAATGATCCGAGGATGATCCGAACATATCCGAGCATGATCCGACCACACACGAGACCGTCTCGCACCCGTCGCACCGCAGAGGTAGATCATCGAGGTTCGGGGACGCACTTTGTATGGAAAAACATAGGGTTTCGTGCATCTGCTATCTCTCAAAAACGCATTTCGTGCGAGACTTCCTCCAAAACTCCATCGGCAACTCCTCCACCAGCACCACTTGCAATGCCATTTACAGTGAGGGAACGATCCTAGAGTTTTAACTCTTTCTTTGACTAACTCTTTCCCTGACTAACTGTTTCTTGACTAAATCTTCCCTGACTGTTTCTTTGCTAACTCTTTCCCTCACTAACTTTCTTTGACTAACTCTTTCCCTCACTAACTCTTTCTTTGACTAACTCTTTCCCTCACTAACTCTTTCTTTGACTAACTCTGTTGTCTTTTCTTTGCTAACTCTTTCTTTGACTAACTCTTTCCCTCACTAACTCTTTCTTTGACTAACTCTTTCCCTGACTAACTGTTTCTTTGCTAACTCTTTCTTTGACTAACTCTTTCCCTCACTAACTCTTTCTTTGACTAACTCTTTCCCTGACTAACTGTTTCTTTGCTAACTCTTTGTTTGACTAACTCTTTCTTTGACTAACTCTTTCCCTCACTAACTCTTTCTTTGACTAACTCTTTCCCTGACTAACTCTTTCTTTGACTAACTCTTTCCCTGACTAACTGTTTCTTTGCTCTGACTAACTGTTTCTTTGCTAACTCTTTCCCTCACTAACTCTTTCTTTGACTAACTCTTTCCCTGACTAACTGTTTCTTTGACTACCTCTTTGTTTGACTAACTCTTTCCCTCACTAACTCTTTCTTTGACTAACTCTTTCCCTGACATTCTAAAAGTCCGTAACACGGAAGTTTCTCCCCCTAAACTTCCTTTGACCATATCTAAAATATTCTAGAATTGATGCCTTCAATTTTGATCATCTGCGGTTGATGAATCATTGACAACTCACAAAAATTCACAAATTCACCACCGATTCTGATTACAATTTGGCAATTTACTCCACTGCCACAGGTTGCTTGCAGCAGCAGTAGCAGCCCTGGCCTTCAGAAGTCTGGCATTTCTCCCAGCCCTGTCCTGAGCTCCAGCTTCAAATTTGTTGGAAGATGTTGCCCCCAAAATTTCACCAACTCATGGCAATTGTTTGATAGAAAACCAAGGCTCAGGACACCCAAAACATGTTGTTTTGTTGATGATTTTGTTTCGGGGGAACACTTGATGCCACCAAAGTGCTGAAGGATTTTGGTGGGATGAGAGTTTTCCAAGACTCGGCCAGAAGCCATCAATTTTCATCACTGTCAGCCATGTTTTCAGCAGAAAACAGCGGACTCTTCAGGTCTTTGGTGGCGACCATGGAGTTTCGGAGACCCAATCTGGTCGCCCCTTGGGTCGCAAAGTCTGCTGCAGCAGGGATGGTTTTGATAAAAATACTGGACCAGTCATACTTCAAATCATCCCATGCTAAAGCAACGCAAGAGCTGCAAGACATAGTCTTGGCTATACCATACACATATACAGATCCGTCCTACTGCATAGAGTCATAGATTGTAGCCAATGCTGTTTAAATTTCAAATTTCTTCAATGCACAATATCATATATCCCATAATTTTATACCCATATATACCCCATATATACGAGACTTACACTCCAACCATCGAACCCTGTCAACCGATCAGATTATGCGTTGATCGTCCGCACGCCATGCGTCGTCATGGAGCCATGGTCCCATCCTATACAAAGCAATATACTAACCATATGTCACTGTCTTGTTAGATGCATATGTTCACAATTTGACCATATATAGTGGATACAGTACCTCCCAAAAAATACTCACCAAGTTATATCCTAATAATCAGCGATATGTTGATTAGCGATACTTACATAGACCCTTATAATCTAACCATACTAACCATACCATATCAACCATACTAACCCTCATAATCCCTGATATACCAACCGTACATTACACCGTTGTGGTCCCCCATGTCCCCAATGGTGCCTGATTTTAAGGGCGTCAAGCCTTGCTGACGGTTGGCCTCCTTGGACTATCCCTGCAGGTTCGGGCGTTTTTTTTTTTTGAGGGAACATGGGGAGATAAAACACCAACTATTCTAACTGGTTGGTGGTTTGGAACATTTTTTTCCTATATATATATATATTTTGGGAATAATAATCCCAACTGACTTTCATATTTTTCAGAGGGGTTGAAACCACCAACCAGCTAATATATCAAATGAGTAATTACCTGATTGGGATATGTCCCAACGATGTAGGATATGAACATGGGGAATGGAATAAATACATGTAATGAAAGGGTCCAACTGAACAACATGTGCACTATTCCGATTCCCCATGAGGATATTGATATTGAACATAGCCGCTAGCTGGCAATCATCGAATAGAAACAGTAACTACTTCATGACAGCAACAGTTGGAGCAACGGATCTCCAGTGGTTTGGATTTGTGGAGTTCAGCGGCATATTCCACTGGATTCCACTGGATATCTTGGTAAAGTCTGAAAAGTCTTGGCAAAATCCACAAAATCCATCATAACTTCAGAGATCTCACGCCAGGCAGGAGAAGCGAATGCCTACATGTCGAGGAGAATAGCATACCCACCCATCAACAAAGAAGATCCCGATCGATGCAAGTGGAGAACCTCCAACATTGCCCAGGCGGGAAGAACGGCCTCGCTGCGGGGTTGCCCTTTTTGATCAAGATAAGAGGCCTTATTTCAGGTGAGGTGTTGTTACTCTAAATTATCCAGAAACATGATGTTTGGGACCCACTTGGGGCTGGAAAGAGAGGTGGATGTGGTATGCAGAGGCGTGTTGGATGTTTGAACATGTCTGAAATGAGACATGGAGGCATGTGTAGAAGTTATCTCTATACATCGCCAAATAGTACGGAATCCTTGCAGTTGGTTTCATGACCAAGTTTGCATGAACGGTAGTGCGAGCAAAGGCTCCATTTTCAATGCAATCTGCCAGCGCAAGAGAGGCCAATGCGCAGAGAGAAAAACTTCAAGACTTGCGAGAATGCAAAATGGCAGGCATGTGGAGGGAATGAGGTGTTGATGAGAGATGTACCACTCATGAACCATGCTGCTTTGGTGATCACTTGAATGCAAGCTCAGCAAACTCTCACACGTGACCACTGTATCTGACTGTATCTAGTTACAATCTAGTTCAACCCCAACTGGTTGGTAATGTGATAAGATGAGTCGTACTCCACGAGCACATGCTCTGGCTTGCATATTCAAATGGACATTCATGGCCGTTGACTCCCAAAGTTGCCCCCGTTACAGGCACAAACGCCAATGACAAGGACATCGCAGGAGCACAGTTGGGGACATGGGATGGCCTTCAGATGGCCTTCAGCACTCCCTTTGCCATGAATTTTCCACCATGGCTGGTTGAAGGAGCTTTGATGACCAAGGGAGACTTTACCAAAGTGACCTTCAAGAATGGCATCATGACCAAGGCAGGAATGTTGGTTGCGCTCATGTTTGTTTTTGGTTTTAAGAAAAGAACGTTTCTTTGTTTTGGGAAGGCATGTCTGAGACATGGGAAGACATCAACAATCCATTAACAGCTTCCCCCCTCTATTTCACCTTCCGATTTGGCCTGGACAAGCACAACCCTACTGGTTCCTGGTACCCACGAGTGTTTAGCCAATCTTGCAGATACTGGCAATGTGAAAGTTCAATCAATCCCATATCATGTTTTTGAAAATGCCTGTTTACTTGCCAACGCGCATGAACCCATGAAGATTTATATAACTACTATTACTATCTATTACTGCATATTACTGCCATAAGAATGGTGATTTCAATTCCCTTCACTTCTTGAATTTTCTGTCCTTCCATCACTAACTCACCACAGCATGTCCAGTTGTGCCAGGTGGTCGCCCAAGACAGCAACTTTGAGGGTGCCGACTTCACCAATGCCGTTGCGGACTGGGGACACTTGTGACACGCGACGTGTTTTTAGTGAAGACATCACTGAGACAGTGCCAAAATGACCGATCTCTAGTCTCCAGTGATTTTGACACATGTTGCGTTTTTTTTGCTAATGTGTTCCGTTTCTTCGGGCATTTTTGGGTCATGTTTAGGTGTATGTCTTGGTAAACATCGGGAATTTGAGAACTCCGCCAGGACAGGGTTGAGTTCAAGAACTCGAACTTCAAGGGTGCTGCTTGTCTCAGAGATGTGGGGATGTCGGGAATTGTTCCCAGGAAACCTATAAGAAACCTATAAGAACCCATAGGAAAAGCAGCTAAGAAACCATAAGAAACCATAAGAAACCCATAGGGAACCCATGTATAGTATAGGAAACCATCATTGTGTCTATGTTGCATTCGTGCTATATGAGATGGACTATATATCACTATATATTGATTCTGCAGAATGCTGCATTCTTGCCAACACTAGTGGACAAAAGGGATAAGATCCAAGGAAAGGGTTCCCTTTTTGAGCAAGATGCTTAGTCTGAAACATTTTGCCACAGTCTATATGGATGATGTTTGGCAACCTGTGAAGAAATGGCCGCACCTATTCACAACATTTGGGATCATCAGTGTTGCGCTAACTGCCACGTCGGCACGTTTTGATTTCAACCAATAATTGGACAGCCACAGGAAACCCATGACCAGAGGCACCCCATTTTGACTGAGGCCATCTTCAAAAATGCGCTCCTGACCTCGTGGGTGACTGAGAACATCACTTTGATGGACACTTAAACAGTATTCCATGAAGGTTGAGTTTCAACTGAACCTTCTACATCCTTCTACAAGCCTTTTAAGTAGTCTAGTAAGGAATCCACGATACATGGATTTTGTTAAACATGTATTTCGAGGTCATCAGATGTGTTAGCATTTGTTGCTCAGAAGGTCCGACTTTGAGGGTGTGAACGTTGAGAACGCAGATTTTACCGATGTTCTGCTGGCATGGATTGAACTTTTCTCCAGCTACAAACACAGGAAAAGAAGGAGTAGTAAGACACGATTCGGATTTTACCGCAAGCTGGGGACACCAATAACAGAATAATCTGTCCAAATCAGTTCATTTTGGTCAGGGTTTTTTGAAGCATGGGCTCAGCCTCCAATTTGGAAGCTGGAAGTCACATTTCATGGGTAGTGAGCATGAGAATCGTTGTTGCATGCAAGAGGTCAATCGTTGAGTTGCGTTTCGAATGGATTCTGTGCATATGGTTTCCCAAAGCCAGGCGTTTTTGGATATCCAGAGCGTGAAGATTCTTTGCAGCAACCCGACCATGAAAGGCGTGCAGTTGAGCCAGTTGACCTATGAGCATCCATCGCACATCTCACATGACACCTGGAGAGGCAAGAATCCTGTCACTGGCGCAGACACCTACCTCAGCGCGGGGTGTGATATTGCAGATGCTGGATCCTACACCAGCCGATGATTTTGCTGAGCCAATTGTTCCTTCTTCGTTTTGAGATTTTCGGTTCCACAGGCCCGGTGCAGGTGCTGCACCTGCACCGGGGCACCTGTTTGCGGCAGACGCCGATTTTCGGTGCCATCTATTGGCATCTCGTCGACATCAGCACAACATCAAACAACTGCAGTGCTTATCAAAGGTAACCACCACTCATGGCATGTTGTTTTCACATGTCTGTGCTGTCCACCAGTACAGACATTATACCAGTCGGCCCGTTTTCTCGCAAGAAAGAGGTGCCTTGCCTTGATCCTTTTGATCCTTTTGCGCAAGAGAGTCACTGGCGAAACAGACTTAGCATCCCACCATATCCCACCCTTTTTTTCTGGCATATCCAAATCCATGGATTCAATTCTTCGATGGACCATTCTGAAAGGGCTATAGTATCTCAATATATCTCAGCATATCTCAGCGTCTGGTTACGAAAATGACCCTACCGCCAACAACGCTTCTGGCTTCAGCGTTGAATCAAAGCATTCACCACATAGATTGTGACAACTTGATCCAACAAAAATTGGATTCATCACCGTAATTATTCATGTCGTCCTTCAGTGCCTGAAGCAGCGCAGAACCTTCGGCCATGGCTTACGCCCCGAAATATGACGGCTTTGGAGGAGGAGAATGCTGCTGACAGTTTCTGTCCACTGGTCCTTCAATTGGTTTCAAACATGAAGTTGGCTCTCCAAGTCCAAGGTCCTTTAGGTCCTAAGGTTGTCTTGTCAGTATTGTTGAAAACTGGATGCAGTACCCGGGTAGAACCATCAGTTTTCCAAACAACGACATCGGAGTGTGACATCACGCTGCAGGATGGGGAACCGTCATCGGCGGTCCGCGGCTCAGCAGCTGCTTGTTGTATCTCAAATTGCGATTTTTTCATCATGGACCCCCCCCCCCTAGCGACCACAACAAAACACCAATTTCAATGCATTTTGAAACATGTCACCCCCAGAAAAGAAGTTGTTTGTAGCATTTGTTCCCAACTTAGTGCCCATCTACAAGTGCCCATCTACAGGTTTTAGTCCCAACTAACCAGAACCAATCCGTGGTATCGCCACCATGGCCCACCAGGCAACACCGCAAACCCCAGCAGCTCGGGTACTGCCACGGCCATGGGGACCATGCAGACAGCGGCCTTGCCAACGCAGGTTCGGGGGTAGGGGCAGTTGTATATATATATATATAGAATTAATAATTCTTGATTAATAAATAAAAACAATTGTAAAATATACACATCATAAATCATCATAAATGATCACATTTATGTGCGTTTCTCCTTGTTTGAAACTTGGCATGCGAAGTGAACTTGCGCACGACGAAACTATTTGGTTGCCCTGGGCCGTCCAAGTCTGGAGTTCCAAAGAAGTGAACGACTGGAGTCGTCCAGATCGTAAAATTTTGGTCACAAGGACCTCCAGTGAAGCAGATATTGAATTTATTAAGGGCTTAGTGACTATATGTGACCATGAATTACCAGAAGCCGGAGTGAAAGTGCAGTATTGGGGGGGTACCAACCAATTGTTGTTTGTCAAGATGTTGGGCACTTTGCTTACTCATTGATTCCAGAATACGTCACCCATTAATATTAAGATTTAAACGTCGCCATTAATATTAACATATATATATATATGAACTACTAAACCAACTTTTTACACAGATACCAATTTTATCCGTTCCGCATAGTTTCTTCAACCAGTTAGCCACCTTTTCACTGCCTCCAGGCTTTGGGAAGCGTCCAAGGAGCAGCCTTTCAGAGGCAGAACTTTGGTAACGTGGGCGACCCCATGGGAGTGGCACAGCAATGTTGGATGATCCTGCGATTCCTGAAGGTAACAATTTTAGATAGATTCATCCAGGTTTGATTGGTATGATCCAGTTAATGATCCTTGGTAACAATTTGGGGCTGTTTCGAAAAATCGGGCCTGCAATGAACCAGAAAAATCGTTGACGAATTGCTAACTTTCGAAGACACACCTGACAATGAAGAAGACAGGACTCCAAGAAACTGCCGCTTTTCTATGAGCTTCAAAGAACAACAACTTTCAGTTGTTTGAACTACAGGTTATATATATATTATATAAATATATATATATTATTTACATACACACTAATTACGATGAACCACCATGACCCACCATAACTTTCAAAAGACCGTGAGCAGCCCACTGAGACCGCTGCCATGGCCACACAGAACATTGCAGACATGCAGCTGGGACCTGAGTAGATTGATTCTTCCGAATCATGAAATCCATTGAAGTTCATTAAAATCCTTAATCCTGAAGCCTCAATTTGATGGTCAACCTGGTTTCAGGTTGAGGCCACATCCTGCCACGGCTGCCACGGTGCTAAAGAAAACACAAAAGCTCGGCCTGAGGTTTCAAACCGTGGCTCCGGATGTTTTGAACTTAGCACTGGGAAATTCAAACATGATATCGCAAATGGTTTACAATGGTTTACAAATAGGACAGTGTGTACATGAAGCAAGATGACATGGTCTTCACTTCAGGGGAGTTTACAAATGAGCAGTGTTGCTTGATGATTGTACCAAGCTTCTCAAATCAAGTGCATTGCCAACATGTCCAGCTGGCAATCTAGCTGCGGTTGGTTATTGCCTCAGTATTGGCGTTGCACAGTCGCTTTAAGACTCGATTGGCTGACGACCTATTTACTATAGCCATAGAATCCACTGTCGCAATGATTGTGATTCTCGCCCTTACGAGGTGATGAAAACACAACCGGCTGGAACCTATGCGGCCAACACTTACGTGCCATCCTCGGAGACAGGCAACATTGGTTGGGGATCAACTTGGACATGCTTTGCACTTTACCTTCTGTCCAACATGCTATGAGATCCAGCAACACATATAGATTCTGTAGGATTTTGTGGGTTTTCCATGGTTTTCCCATGGCCATGTCGGCTTACTGGAGGTTATATAATGTTATATATCCATATATGATGTGGTTCACTGTTCGCGGACCGTTGAAATCTGCCGGACTTAGGATCCAATGGCTACAAGAGCACCGCAGACGCAAGCTGATGCTTACAGTTGCTCCATCTATAGACTGGTGTGAAACTCTCCAACAAACATGGCAATGGAATATGAACAATTACAATTTGGGAGCATGTAAA